GGGGGGGAGGGTGGGAGGATTGGGCTTGAAATATTCTTCATTATATAATTCATTAGTGCGGTCTTCGAAGTCAACCTCTATTGGCCTTTATGTTTTAGATTTCCATAATAATTTGCATATTTTGACTAACTAGTATTAGTCCTTTCACAGTTTGAACGATTTTGCTTCGATTGCTCGCGAGTACACCTGTCATTAAAAGTAAGATCCGAATGCTACTAAAGCACTCTCTATTTTCTTTAATTTGATAGGAAAAAAATTTTACCCGGTTTTTAGCGAAACCAGCCATGTAAATGAAATGGCACGCACAAAATTTTATTATTTAAATTCACTTTTTAGATCTGAATTAATTTATATTTTTAGGCTGATTAGAATTTGCTAGAAATTTGCGAGGTTTGTTGTAAATTCTATGCTTCTATTTGCCTACTTATGGCCATTAAATGGATGGCCAAAAAATTTTTGTTATATTCTGATCGAATGAAATATTTTCGCTTATATTCGTTTATCATTAATCATTTATCATTCGTTTGTCATTTATCATTTTTTGTCTTCGAAAAAATTTATTTACAAAATTTCACATTAATTATTTTTAGATTAAATGGATGCAAAAGAGATCAGCTCAATCGTTTACCGATCAGTAACGAAGCGCTTCTCAACACTTTTCATTGCAGCGGTGGTTGGAGCATATGCTTTCGATTTAGTTGTAAATAAATCTGTGGAAAAAATTTGGTATGAAGTGAGTTTTTTTCTCTATTTTCTTTTTTCAGATATTTTTTAAATTTTAATTGCCGAAACTATTGCTCATTTGCTTACTTTTCAAACATGTAATTTATATATTTAATATAATTTTATAATTTTATATATTAAAATTATTTTTTAGATGAACAAAGGAAAACTTTGGAGAGATATCAAAGATAATCTTCCATAAGAGTAATTTTTAATAGTTTTTCGGAATGCCAATGACCTTCGATTTTAATGTTAAAAATAACTGATTTATTCTTTCCAGGTTAATTAATATATCTTTATAATTAATTCTTCTTCTTTACCTTAGCAATGTTTCAGAAACAATTAGCAAAAAATTGAACCAAAAAAATATTTAAAGTCAAAATTTGCTTTCTAATATGGATCTTTGTCCCATCATTTATCTAAAAAACTTTGAGATTGGACCCTCAGTTATTTTTTCGATATATCGAATATTAAATATAGCACAGGAATATTGTAATCACTAATTATGAAAATATCTGTATAATAATTTCTTTTGTTGTGTGTCTACGAAAGAAAAAAACTCGTCTATTCAAAATCAATTTAAATACCAAATTGTGTTAAATAGTATCCTCTGGTCCTTTTTCGATCTATTCAGTCCTCCTCTAGAATTTACTTCAACTTCCAACGCCAAATATCGTTTTATCAACTCGTTAGTTTTTCACAATTTTTCACAATTTAAACTTCCTCTAATCTTAATAGGTAGTTTTTGGGAACTTGAATTTATATTTTGTTATATCCCTTTAATACCTCGCAATGCCTCAGTAAGTTTCCATTATGCACCATCTCATTAATATTTTGCCAGACCTCATATTACCATGGATCTCTCTGCATTTATTTAAATTTTCTGTGCACCATATTTGATTAATAAGTTCTTCAAAATCACTTATAATCCTTTATACCGCAGAAACTTCCTTAATGATCCACCATAAGATCGCATCGTGTTCTTTTAAACTAGATAATAAAACTTTCTTAACCTCGCCATGGTAATTTAATACCGAAGCCTGATAATTCTTAAATAATATAAACCGTGATAACGCCTACGAAATTTAGGCTAATAATCCCCTTAATGCCATATTCTGTGGAAAACTTCCCGAACATCATAGAATATTTTCTCCAGAAAAAAAAAAGTAAAACTGCTAAACTTTTGCCGTTAGTGTGATCGTAAACTCCTTTTCCACTACTTTTCACTTCTCAACTGTGTACACATATATGTATATAATACTTGATTTTTGGGAAATATCAGAAAATATACCAAAGTTTCAATTCTGCTCGTTCGTAGGATAGTATTTTTATTAGTACGCGAAGCACGAAAAAACATAAAAAAATCCATTTAGATTTATTCATATGAACTAAGTTATGCTTTTTCAAAACTTTTTCAAAACAATTTTACGAGTTCAACGTTGAAGCAATTGCTGAATATGAAAATATCATAATTTTTCAAGATTAAAATATTCAATAGAACTAATTAAATGAAAAGACTTAATGAAAACTGTAAAATGTTAAAATTAAAAATGTTTTGCACTCTGAGTTTTAAATTTTAGTCATCCTTCATATTAAATTTATCATAGATTGATATAAATATTCTTAAGAAAAAAATGGACAAATATTTGAAATATTTTCATATGAATTTAAGAATATGGTCGAATATTCAACCGAATTCTTTCAACCGAACAAAAATGTCTAAAACAATGTTCTAAATGAAATTGGGAAATTGGCCCTTTACATAAGCTATTCAACAACTACTTAATATTTATTTAATAACATCGAAAAATATTTTGAAATTTCACCTCTTTAGTTGTTGTTCATGTTGCTGCTGTTGTTGTTGTATCATTTGCGATTGTAATTGTTGTTCTTCAGCTCTTGTAATTGCCGTAAGTTTTTGTCCTAACCTCTGATGTAGGTCCATAAATTTCGATACACAACGATCAAGACAAACCGTTTCACCTTTCGTTAATTCAGCTTCCCTTTAATGAATCTATTTTATAAATGCTATTTTTGGTCATAAAGAAGTGAGCTTTCAAATATATTTTAAAATTTCATCATGGAATTTCTATGTTCTCTGAATAGTCCTCGAAGAAAATTTGCAATGCATATTCTCGTTCATCCATCACTATAATCATAACTTAAAGATGAAATAAAACTGTAGAGGATTTTGAGAGTGACACGAAAAATTGAAAGTTGAAGAAAGAAGACTTGTAAGAGAGGTGAATGATAGAAGAATCATCTATCTATCATACTTCTTCACATTTCCGATGAATATATTCATAAGATCAACATATTTTTTAAAGATTATTCAAAGAAATTAACTAAAATTGGTTTTAGTTTAACTGAAATTAAACTTACTTATAATTAAATGAAATACACTTTTGATGACATGAATTGCTTAATCGCTTAAATAAATCGCTCATCATTTCCATTTCAACTTCCCATAAAGCTTTACTCTCTTGATCAACATATTGTCTATTTTCGCTTTGCCTTTGACCCATATCTTCACAAAATTTAATCGTTTTACCTAATACAAATGAACAATCTGAAAAACAATAATTAATAATTAGTAATAATAACAATCAAAATAAGATTTAATATTTTAAAAGTTTTATCGATTATTAAAAATTGTACCATATTGCCGTTTTCTTCTAGTCCTATCTTCAGGATTCGTCTTTAACGTCAAATACATTATTCATTAGTAATTAATCATTCGATTAAATTACCAATAAATTATATTAATAATGATTTGGAAGTTAACATTTACTTAAACATTTAAATTATAACTAAAATATGAAGAAATAATTTAGCTTTTATATTTTATAAAAAGATACCACTGATGAGCGAAACAAACCACTGAATTCAAAATTTTAAATAAATATTTATCGTAAAATTTTAAAAAATTCCACAGATTATACAAAATAAAAACAAATCTCGAGTCTCGAACGAAAAACAAATATATCATTTGCCAAATTTTCGAATTAAAATGATAAATAATAAATAGTATAAATGATAATTAGAGACAAAGGAAATTAGGCAAATAAACTTTGGGTTTTAAAGACTAAATTACTTCGAAAGTTTTAGTGAATAGTAAAGGTTTAACGAAAACAATTTTATATACTTGACCAACGGCAAAATTGCCGTTAAATTTTTATAAAAGCACAAAAAATTGAAATATGTCAAATTAGGCAGTTGAACGATTAATAATTAATAACTGAGAATACGACTAATTTTTTTACAAAAAAAATTGAAATTACAATTGAAATTAAAATTGAAATTACAGGGAAATTACAATTATAAATTACAATCAAAGCAAGTATATAAATCAACATACGTTTCATTTGAAAAACGAAATGCCACCGCTTTTGGACCATAATAATCAATAAGATATGCTTTACCATTGGCTGGTCCAAGTAACTGTAAAGCTATTAATACAATATCGATAAGATATAATATTGCAAAACATCCAAACGAAAATAATTTAAGAAAACCTGAAAAAAAGAAAAATTACATTAGAAACTGGAAATATTACTTTAAAAAAGTGGAAATATTTAATAGTTAAATAATTCTTTGAAAAATTTAAATTTAAAAATTTAAAAAATTTAAATCCAATTGGAATTTGCGCAAATACAAAAAATAAATAAATAAACAAACCTATAGCATAATAACCAAGATAAAAACGATCTGCACCAGCCCATCCAAGAAATATAGCCAATAATAATGCAGTGCTGTGTCTAATGCCTGAGGAGTACTCGCATCCATTCATTATTCGCTTTTCAAATCTGAAATTAATTTTATTTTTGTCAAAAAATACTGATGAATTGTAATGTGAAAAAATGTAATATTTGTATGTACTTGTTGGTAACCTGGTACCAAAGGTCAATCTATTTTCTCTCTCAATCTATGATGTCCGACAAACATTTTTTTTCTATTCCAGTCCGAATTCCAATAATTAAATTTTATCTTAGCCCAAAACCGAAGATAGAAAAATTACAAAATAATTTTAAAATAGCCAAAAAAAAGTGTACACTCTACCTTCGTGTAACATTATTTAATCCGATGCAGTCGATATTTGGTGCAACTTCACAAAATACTAAATGAAAAATAATTTTAAATAATATAAAAATGATTTAAAATAATGCAAAAAAAAATTAAAAAATGTGTTTTTGCCAAATTTAACAAAAAAAAAAATTATTTCATATATTGAATTATTTATTACTTACAAAATATTATTTAAAATAATAAATTATTTATTCATTTATTTATTCATTTATTATTTGCTATTTATTATTTAAAAAATATTTAACGTAGAATATGAATTATGCATTTAGATTGCGTTTGGATCTTAAGCGGTTTTAATCCCACTCCACTCTAATCACTATCTATTATAACATAAATGTGTAGAACCATAGATCTTCGCTTGCTAACAAAATCTATCTCAAAAAGAAAACTTAAATATAGTTCATAAAGATTTAAAGCAAACGTAACAGCCATGAATGCTACCCGGCTAGAACCTCTTATTGGCAAGTATGGCAATTGGAAATTTGTTAATGGATCATTGGAAAAATATCTTCGCCTTGCCGAAGTGAAGTGGAACTGAACAAGGACGAAGGTAGTTCGAGTAACTGAGAACTGATTCGTATTTTATAAAGCGACAGATATTCTAGATGGTAGATGAAGTGATTCAAAATAAAATAAGGTTGACGCATCTGTTAGAATTCTCAAAGATCGATAAAATATATAAGATCAGCTATCCAGTAAACAACTGAAATTCACTCCCAGTTGAATAATTATAACTGCGAACAATCAGCAAGGTATTCACAATAATTTCCTCTAAATTCAGGAGCTTTAAGAAAATAGGATTCTCGAAAAAGATGATCTTAGGACTGAACAAAAATTTTTAATAAACTATTCAATATTTTATGCTTTAAAGGAATCACTAATATCAAAAGGACTTAAATCACGACAAACTACGACTAAAGTGATTTTGTTCTCAAAAAAGATCGTAAAATGGAATTCGAAATCAATCTAGAAATGGATATTTCAAGGACGATTCCTCTCGACTGAATAACTCTTATGATAATTCTTCTCTTTCCGATTTATGGCCGTATGATAATAGGATATAACCAAATCAAGATGAGTCCATACTAAAGTTCAGATGTGCTAATCAAATAAGAAAAGTATTTCACAAAAGTATTTCAATCATTAACATCTCATCGCCACTAGTTTACTTTGATCCGCTTTCGACTCAAAATTAGAGAGATATGCAAAGGTGTTTAACAGAAAATTATCCGACAGACTAAGCGTTATACATTAGAGCCAGTAAAAGTGTATATCAGCATAAATATGTGTTTGTCGAGAACAGATGAACAGATGATCCTTTCGAAATGAGAACTGGTGCTTATCTCATTAGGGTTCTTTCTTTTCCTTTTTATCAGACAGAAAGGATTATACTTGCTGGAATTCAAGAATTCAAATACAAATGAATCCTTATTATCATCGATCTTTAATAATCTGATAATTTTTTTTTGAAAATTATGAAGAATTACAATAAAACCAAATCGATGTAGACAAAATACTTATATTCATAAATGTACCATGGTTGAAGTGTGGATTTCAAAATATCTTAAATCCATCAATGAATCAAGAAAAAGAGAAATTTCTAGCACTGCAACTGGAAATGATCACTTTGCAAAATCATTCGCTATGAATCGCTGTGAAATTAGTATCAAAATTCAAAATTATCTTGAATTATGCACAATGTTTTGGCATTAAGCAATGCTCTATGCTATGGCCAAGAAGAATGAAAAGAACGAAAAAGGTTTCTACCTTCAATCACTCCTGACGATGGCATATATTTTATCCACTCTACTATACCAAGTCACCAAAAAATTTCATATAATTGCATCTATCATTATGAATACAGTTTTCATTAATAAAGCAGCCACAGAATATCGCCTAAACTGATTAAGCCATGTTCTGCCTAACACAGAAATATCTTTGGAGAATGCATAGACAAAGATGGAGGAAAAAGGAATGGTTTTTGTTATTTGAAGAAAATTTTATTCGAGGAGGAGTATACATTGAAGTTTGAACTTATTTTCAAGTAGTATTAGGTCAATACAAGGATTAAAACTAATAAAAACTGATCTCTTAAGAGATAAAATAAAAATACAAAAAATTAATACCGATTATGGAATTATCTTCACTGCATGTTTCAGGCAGTTGAGTATCAGTTGATATTGTTGGTTCATCGCAACGGTATCTGTAATATATCAACTAATTTGGTTACTAATTTATAAAATTATTTTGTTATAAAATATATAAATTGCTTGGTGCCTAGTTGTGCAAATTTTATTCTATTCTAATTTTCTAATTCTAATTTTCAGCTTATCGACTAAGATTACCAAAAACAGAATTTGAAAATAAAAGAAATTAAGTTAAAACTAAAAATGAAAAATAAAAATAAAAGATATACTGAGATATAAAGACGAGCTGGCAAGGAATGAATAAACCTTATAACAATAGTAAAATAAATATTTTAAATAACGAAAAGCTTTAATTTTAATTTTAATTTGCCTGGTCTAGCACCAAACAATTTATGGCAATTCCTTTCGTTACCCAAATCCTAAATCTTTAAAGAGCTATATAATTTCTTTAACGTCTGCAGACAACCGCACAATATCATAATAATTTCTTAGTAGATAAAACCATAAAGAAATTGCAAATCCCAATGAAAAGACATATGCAATATCTGACTCTTTCGGACTTTGGTGCCACGACGCAACACCACGTGCGTGCCCAATGAAGTTGTTTGCAAAAATGAGGATTAACCTGACAGGCTTTCTACATTATACCGCTCTTCTTCTTCCTCTTCTTCTAACAGTCTTAGACTGTTTCCGATGGCTACAAGGATAAGATATCTCCAAGCTCCTTGGTCCGATGCCATCGATAGCAGTAATAGAAGTCATTCGTTTTTCCATCGTTCTACTTCCATATATCGCTGGTCTCTCTATAATCTTTTCTCGTTCAAAATCTTTTCTGACTATATCACTCCAGATCTTGATTGGCCCTCCTCAAGTTTGACACCAATCATCATACGTTTCGGCAAGTAGCGAAATATGCGTCAACTCCTGTGGTGGACGACGGAAAACGTGCCCTGACCATTGAAAGCGACGCTCTATGATAACATTATTAATACAAGTGGTTTTTGAACGAAGGTGTATATAATCATGCGATTTTATCCGCTCGATATCGGATCCGTATCACACCGCTCTAGAATTCTTTATTATAGAATTTTTTCCCGCTGTAATACCATTTTCCCATTTTCTCACCAGCAAATGCATTCACATAATTTACGAAAAAACTCAAAAAAAAAAAAAGAAAAACGTACTGCCCCATTAAAAGTTCGTCGCATAGTTTCAATGAAAAAACATAGGAAATAATGAATTGTATAGAAATGTAATAATTAAAAAAAAAATTCATTCTTATCGTACATCGTACAATAATTTCTCCTGAAAATATTTGCTTAAAACAAAGAATATATAAAAATATTTCAAAAAAATCCTAAAAAAAAAAAAAATTCTTTAGGATAGAAAAATAAAAATTTTAAAAATAAAGACTATTATTTATATGAAAAACTAATTGTAGAATAGTTCAGAGAGTTATTTATTGAGTCTTTTACAGCTAACAAGTGAAAAACCTGTCTTGGCGACTCGTCTATATCGGCCATCGTTAACTGGTTGACCGTGGCAAAATTTCTTTGGCCCCAAAATGCCAGTGAACTCAAATAATATCCATTTTTTTAAAAAAATTTAAAGGACATCTTCTACGAGAAATCTTTACAAAAAATAAAGAAAAATTTTATTAAAGCAAATTTAAAAATATTGAAAATAAAATAACCAAAAATTTATACAGTTTGATGAAAATGGTTGTAATATCAAAAAAAAATCTTGAAGCACAAAATACTTTTTTTTTGGCCAAAAAATGGGGAGGATAAAATATTGAAGAAGAAACTGCAAATAAGGTCTAATAATTAATCGTATTTCAATTTTAATGGCACGTTTGCTTGAAAATATACAACTAAATCACTTATCATTTATCAAAATGATAAGTGATAAAGTGGCATATTATCATTTTTATGCTACTTAAAGGAAGAAATAATAAAAATATTCATTGATAGAAATGATAGCTGATGATCGACAAGATTCAAATTTGCGAATGGCCAATTATGGCCAAAGTAATTTTATCATTACGAGTAGATAACCGACACCAAGAAATATTTTTGAAGATAACGGTTTATATAATTTTAGAAACAAAGTCAACTCACCTAATTAATTTCCTGTCATAAGCGTTAATGGTAATTTAAATGGTTTCGCGTCTTACCATTTTGCAAATCCGTACGAGGCACTCCTGAACTTCCACGCATATTCCCCCCCCCCCTCCTCGCCACCCCCTCGAATCTCAGCTACTGATTATTTTTCAATAATTTATTGAACCTTATTTTTTCTAGTGCTACCGATTTTCACATTGCTCTTATAATAATGAATCGAAAAGTGAGAATTTGCAATATTGAAAATGATAGTAAAAAATGATAAACAAAACAAAAAAATGAAAGGGTAAAAAGGATTAAATATAAAATCAAACAACGATAGTTTACAATGGATTTTAGTGGTTCAGTGGATTTATCTCAGCCGACGCCCAGGCGACGACTCACGCGGATTTGTGTCGCCAAGATGCAGTTGCTCTCTGGCATATTTGTCCGATGCGACAAGCCAGCGGAACGAGCTTAATCAGTAATGGTGAAAAATCTTAACGAAGAAGAAAAGATTATATCTTAGCCAACTTTTACCAAATTTTTTGAAAAATTTTATTTGTAGATGCAATAACTGCTTACGGATGAATGCGTTGAATTATGGTGAATTATGGATAGGATGGTGTTGAATAAAGGATTGATATGGTGTATTAATGAACATTAATGGATATAAAAATGAGTAAGAATGGTGCAAAATTTGAGGTTCATTTGAAGAAAGTTAGAAACGAATTCTATACGTGTGGCTTCGAATCGCTAAAAACTAGTCACCGCCATCGATATTTCCATACGAAAAGTTTTAATAGATACAACAATAAAAAAAATTATATCCTCTGGTATGATATTGTTTGATATTGGTATGATATTGGTATGATATTGGTATATATTGGTATGATATTGTTTGATATTGGTATGATATTGGTATGATATTGGTATGATATTGGTATGATATTGGTATGATATTAGTATATTTGAAATATAAAATAGCTGTGGTTCAGACTTAGTTTGATTTTTTTGAATTCTATAATAATAGCCGTGGTCCAATTTGACGAACCAGTTGCGTAATAAACGCAAATTCTTATTGAATTGGAAAGCCAACGCTGAATGCGCTTCTACGTGAGATGCTAATTGGGCGATAAAAACGTGAAATAGGCAAATGTACTAAATTTTATGTAATTAAGTATAATCGACGAACTTCAGAGAATAATTAAAGGGAAAAAAGGAAGGGAAAAATTCGAACTCCTCTCGCAATTTTGTGCTACAACAATTGAATTATAAATTTCAAATTTAAATATCGAAAGCGCGGTAATTTTCCTTTTTAAATAATTTTATTTTTCATTTTATTTTTTTATTAGTTTGTTTATAAAAAATCCAATTAGGGAGATTTAATTATTTTTTGTTAAATTCCCATAAAATATATAAATTTTTTTTTAATTTTAATAGTTTTATTTTAATATATTTTTTGCAAAAATTATATTTAAACTCTAAAAATCATTTTTTTTTTGAATTGTAAAAATTAAAAATTAAAAATATATTACATAAAAATATATTAAATTAAAAATATATAAAATATAATATAAAAATATAAATTTATTGAAAATATATTAAATATATTAAAATATAATATTTTTTTTTTGTATGAAAAAATTTATAAATAAAATAATATTTTTAGAAATTTTATATTTTCAAAAAATATAAAATTTTGTAAGAGTTTAACGCTCTTTATTTCTTGGCTCTGAACTCGTTTCGCTAATTTGTCGGTCTTAGAAAAATTTTTTGAAAAAAAAAGAAATTTTACGAAGGAATCATTTCGAGGGATATAAGATACTAGTGAACAACCAGTATATCCGAATAGATACTTTTGAGCAGCGGTGCTGCCAAAAGTCCCAGCATTAGCGCTTTGAAATGAGAGCAAAAAGGCAGTGAGGCATTCTATTTTCTATCGTCTTCTAACAGCTCTCACCATTACTCGTTAGGTCGGCTCCACTAGCTATAAAGATGTTTCCAAGCTGCTCGATCCGACGCCAACACTGACAGTAATAGAAACCATTCCTTTAGCCATCTTTCAATGCCACCCATTACAGAGTTTAGAAGTAACGAAGTATGCACCAACTCGTGTGCTAGACAACGGAGAACGTGTCCTAACCAGCGAAGGCGACTCTCTGTGATAATATTATTAATGCAAGTGGTATTTGAACGAGGTGAATGAGAGATATTCTCTGTTCGAGACGGACCAGTTAAATTTACCTTACCAAGAGTGGTCAAAAAGCAGCTTATTAATACCCTCCACTCTTATTGGCTATCTCATGGCCATATTACAAGGTCGAAAGAATCATTTACTTATTAGATGAATAATATTGCTGAATTATGCCATTGTCCTACTTGTTCTTTTTCCATGAAAATTGTTATTTTTTTCTTATTTTCAGGTCAAACACAACGTAGTTATGAATGATTCAGAAGGAGATTCTATAAAAGTAGTTATTCGTGTTCGACCGCTATTTTCAGGGTTATTTCTTTTCACTTTACTTATATTCTTGCTTATTTTAGATGAAATGAATCATTTAAAAGTCTCAAAATCTATTTATTATTTATTATTTTTATTTTCCTATTCTATTTTAACTTTTCGCTTCTATTGTTTTAATTCTTTCTCTACCTCTTTTTTCGGCTTCTTCAAGTTTGAAATTTCAATTCAACTTCCTTTTTGCGGTATTTTATTCGTTATTACGGTGAAAGCAAATAAAAATGAGGTTGAAATCAATGAAGAAAACAAAATTTCAGTTAACCTGGATTACATGAAAATAAAGTTCGAATTAGCAGTTAGCCTGTCAAAAATCGTTAAAGGATAATTAAAAAACAGAAATGAATGTATTAATAAGGCATTAGCATCAAATTAATGTGGTGCATTGGCGTCTTATTGATAAGAATATGAATCGACAAGCGATTCAAATAATAATAAGCTCCAATATAACAACCTTTGACTGCTTAAAGCAAGCAAAGAAGATAGGCCGCTCGAAAATAGGTTTTTGTTTTGTTTGTTTGCTTTCACCCTCGGCGATATCCATTTATTATATTTTTGATCCTTAAATTAAGAGATTTTTTGAAAATTCTCTTCATTTTTATATTTTTTCAATTTTTTGACCCTTTTCCAGTATTATTATATTATATATTATATTTTTTGGTTGTAATATAATAAAATTGATAAAATAAAAAATTGCTGAGAAATAGAAATACATTATAAAGAAAGATTTTTGGGAAAAAAATGATACATTTGTAAAATTTTATTTATATTAATTTTGGAATATTTCAAAGTTAGCGATAAAAGTAAATTTTCTTAAATTATTTATTCTAATTTAAGAGAAACGAATGAACAAATTGAATGGATCGCTTATGACGGTCGATTTATGCAACGAGTTAACGGAAATGAAATCTATGAATTTGGTATGTCGTTATTTTTTCGATTTTAAAAATTTGTAGTTTTAATTAACATTATTTTATTGATAGTTAATTTTATTTAATTAAATTATGAAATATAAATTCTTTTTCTCATTATTCTATATTCACTTGTGGTGCTTGTTTTTATGTGCATTGAACCATATAAGCCAACAAGCCATGTATTAGAGATGGTGCTGAAGACATCAACCAAATAAACAAAATCAGCCTAAAAATATTTGAGAATGTTACAATTATTATTTAAATCACCGTGTTATAAGTTTTCTTTTATCTCTTCTTTTACTTATTATCATGATAATTTATTTTATTTTCCTCTTATCGAATCTGTTAATATTTTATCTATTCTTAGTTTCATTCACTTTTATCCAAATTTCAGATCGTGTTTTCGATTCATTATCAAATACAAAGGATATTTATCGCGAATATGTGCAGAGTATAATAGATTCAGCAATAAATGGTTATAATGGAACGATTCTTGCATATGGTCAGACTGCTTCAGGCAAAACTCATACAATTTTTGGCTCGTGTTCAGAAGATGGTATTATTCAAATGGCTATAAGATCAATTTTCGACGCTATTGCTTCTGTAAGAATTGTTAATTGAAATATTTGAAATAGTATAATACTTTTGCTTAAACCAATCATCTTCTGAACCCGATCCATTGATTCGTTAAACCTCATTTATCATTTGAAGTGAACTCCGGAGGGTTAAAGAATCTCATCGCTCCTCTTAATCTGTATTGCTGCCTAGCTCAAAATTGCCGAATGATATTAGATAAAGAAGAGAATTAAATATCCTGGATATTTTGTATAAGTTCAAATTTTCAATTTTTAATTAATTTAGTATTAATTTTCAATCCTTTTTAGAGAAGCACAAGTCGTTATCTTCTTCGCATATCTTTTATTGAATTATATAATGAAAAAGTAAGAGATCTGCTCGTCGATAATTCAAAAGATCTTTCTGTTAAAGAAATTAAAGAACAGACAGTTATTCAAGGTATCAAAGAAGAAGTTATTACGAGCGATACTAGTGCTGATTACCTCATACGAATGGCTTATGGTTGGTCTTAAATGATATTTCCATGTTTTATTTAGATGATTGATAGAGCATTTTAATTTTCCCATTTTATTTGAATAGTTTTTTTTAGATCGACGTGTAGTCGGTGAAACTACTTCGAATCAGAGGTCTTCCAGGTCACATGTTATTATACGTTTGATAATTGAGAGTCATGATGCTCTTCTGGGAGAGTCCTCAGTCTCATATATTTCACATTTGGTCTGATTTTTTTTTTAATTTTAGTAATTTTTAATTTTGCTGGCTCGATAAATATTAATACTTTTTTAGAATATAGTTGACCTGGCTGGTAGCGAAAATTCGAATTGTGTGAGTTGCCAGAAAGAACGGATCGTTGAAGGAGCAAGTATCAATCGGAGTTTATTAGCACTGCTTAGAGTAATTCAGCAGTTAAGTGATAAGTGGTGCATATTATATTATTTTGATATTATTCTATCGGTCAAGTAAAATTTTAGAAAATAGCAGAAAGTGTTTAAAAATTTCTATTAAAATTTCTATAAATAAATAATATATTGTTGATATATATCTTAAACGCCTCTGTGGAAAATATATGCAATTTCATTTGGCTTTTTACATCTCGAAATGCTTTTTTTCAACCAGTTTTTCAAATGAAATGACAAATCGTTATCATAGCATCGAAAAATATCAGTTTATCAGTTATATTTCTGATATTTTCTTTATCTCAAAAACTTTTCTATGATCTGATTCAGAAAAAATTCAAGAGTATTTCATTTCCATTCCGTTCACCCATTCCATAAGATTATATTTATGACTTCCATTTTTTAAAATTTTTTCAGTATTTTCCTAAAAAAAGGTTGACCAATTCTTTTTTAAAGTTTAATATCTTTTTAAGACATTAATGATTGCGCTTTGTTTTAAGTTAGAAAGCATCAAATATCTTTTTTTTTAAGACTAATTTTATTTCTTTTAGTGATCATATAAGTTTTCGTGATTCAAAATTGACTCGTTTATTGAAATCGTCGCTTGGTGGCAATGCAAGAACCATTATAATATGCAGTGTATCTCCTTTAGTAAATACAGAAACTTTGCAAACACTGAGGGTAAATAAGATTCATGTGTTTATAAGGCTTATTTGACTCCTTTTTTTAATATATTGGTACTTTAAAGTATATTTCTTTTAAAAATATATTAAAATATATTTTAAATATATTTCAACTGTTTAAAATATTGTAAGTCTTTACCTACATCTAAGTTTAGCAAAATAATTTTTTGGATCATTTTTTTTCGTTGAAATTATGAATGATACAGTTTGCTTCTCGCGCGAAGATAATCAAAAATCGTCCTGTTCAAAATAAAACCTCAGATGATGCTCTTTTATCGAGATATTTGCGGATGATCGAAGATTTAAAAGCACAGTTGAAGGTTTTTTTTAAAAATCTGTATCATCATATTGAGGATTTCGTCTTACCATCTCTGATTAAGCTTGCTGCACTGGCTGTTAAGTTTAGACCAGGAATTCGGTGTGGAATTAATGCCAGTGGGCCATTATGAGAATTTTTTAATTGATAGGAAAAGTAGCATATCTATCCTAACGGTAATCAAAGAAAGCAATGTTCGGCTCTACTGCCATTTTTTCATAATTGATAATAGCTTTTCAGGAAAATCAGAGAATCGAAAAAAATGAGCGAGATGTCGCCAATTACAAGGAAAATTTAATTAAACTGAAAGGATGTATACTTTACGGTTCGAATTTTAGTGGTTATCAGGTATTAAGGCTTTTTATTTTTGTCTATTATCCCTCATCATCCACTATGTTTAAAAACAAATTTCAAACAATGTTTTGTTTTTACAAAATTTGTTTGTATTTCTTTTGAAATTTTTGTTTATAAAAATTATATCTCTTAATATTTTATCTTAAGAATCGACGTAAAACGTGGGGTGGAGGAAGATTCATCTGTCCAAGTGAATTTTCACTTAAGGAGAATACTTTGAAAGAAGATGCAAATGAGGTTTGATTTACACTTTGTCCTTTATTTTCGCTCAAAATTCCACAAGGAAAAGTACAAATTTTATAATTATTTTATAAATTATTCTACTTCGAACTTATTAGGCTTCTTATAACTTATCGGTTTATCCTTCGGTCGATGGTGGATCAATGAATTCTATAGAAGAATTCCAAAAAAATTGTGAGGAAAATGAAAATGCAAGTGTCCTTGACTATTCTATTATTGGATTTTCAACATGTCATCAGGTGATTAAAATTGGATAACCTCGGTCTTTTATTTTAATGTTTTATTTTTTTTTAAAAAAATAATTTTCTTTATTTAAAGAAAATATCATCAGATAAAGTTACTACATTTTTTCCAAGGAAATAGATGATACGCTATCAGAAGAGAACCGTTTTCATAATCGGACATCATCAACGCAAACAAGTACGATATCGATAACAGTTAGTACTGAAATAGAAGCTGATTTATTCAGGTATATTTTCACTTGTTCCAATTTTTCAATTATAAATAAAACCATCCTTTATTTATTCGTTTGAAATACAAACAAAGTAAAATATACAGTTATACATTAGTATTGATGAAAGCAGTTGAAGCAAATAGAAATCGAACATATAGAAATGAATAAAAATATATGTAAAGTAAAATAATACAATAAAAAAAGAGAATCGTAAATTGCTAAGATTCCTTTTAAAACTGGAGATCGATTGGACGAGAACATTATACATGATTATATTTATATAAATATTTCGGTAATATTTCGGTAAAAAATATTTCGGTAATTTCTAATAAAAAAATTGCTCAACAGGACATTGTTCCTACGGAAGAAGTTTATGTAACCTCCATCCATTACTTTCAATCTGGTATCATTAAAACTTATAATAATTAGTTCAACAATTCAGTTTGTAAAATCATATGAGTGTAACAATCAGATCTTGTTTAACTCTCGGTAAATTATAATTAAAATTTGATTTTGAATTTAAAATGTCGAGAGGAAGACTTAAGATTTATGCGACTCGTAAGAAATATATTTTTGTAAATAAATCTAATTGATTTGCTATATTTCGAAGAAGAACATACTATGCTAAATTTTAATTTTTGTTGTGGATCGATGATTGTTTTATAAAAAATTTATACGGTCTCTTTCTAAAAGTTCTAAGCATGAAGTTTAAAATTCTGGAAAATCTTTTAAAAACAACCCATTATATAGGTCGAATTAAAGTAAAAATATGGAAGGTTTTTTAAGCGAGTTAGAAGTTTTGGTATTGATAGATAAAATTTTACATTATCTATCGATAATTCAATTTTCAATTCAATTTTCCTTTCATAAACCCACTTAAATATATTATTCAAATCTTCTTGGAGGGCAATTTCTGCCATATGCGAAATAGGATTTTATAGTTACTTACATGTTAGAAACATTCAGAACATTCAGAAAAAATATTTTTTGATCAACAGAAAGAAGAAAATAGAAAATTCCAATTAATTCTTGCAATAATCTGATTCTTTCGGTGTAAAGTCACTTGAGGGATAGAGTTACAGGTGGATTCCCAGCAGCCGTTTGGATTTTGCAGCTTTACTCCTGTCGAAGACAAAGATAGGTAGAAGTTTAGTAGAAGATGAAAAAAATATCAAGTTAAAGAAAAAAACTAGTCGTGAGTGATTTTTGGAAGCATAGAGGCTTCCAAAAATATCTTATAAATTTTGTATAAAAAGTGAATAATATTTAATAACAGTCGATAATCGATAATAAATATTTCATAGGCGCGCAATAGACCGATTGGAATCCACCCTTCTATTTCCAAATAACTTTTTAGCTAATTAGTTAGTAAATTAAGAAGATTTTTCTTTTCTGTGAAAATTTCAATTTGCAAAAATCTTATCATTTTTATTTTTTGTTGAAAATGGTCCAAGGATAGTCCAAAGTCATTTAAAATAGATTCAAACTACATAATACTTAATAAATTGTTAAAATAAGAGATGCACTGCACCAAGAGATCTGCATATATCAATAACGAAAATATTTCTGGAATCTTAATAATTAAGGATTTAGACGTATCAGAAGAATAGTTATCAACTATATAATTATTTACGTAATTGTATTGGGAATGTATTTTTTGCGATAAATATTTTAGTATGGTGGAGAAATCTTGTCAATGTCCTGAAGACAATCCTGATTTGCCAGTAAGTTTTTTTATTCCTTTTTTTTATGCAGCTAGTGAAGTTTCAAAAGCTTTTAAAAAGCCTCTCAATAGATTGATTTTCTGTAAATATTTATTTTGACGAGGTTCTGATTAATTGTCAATTCAGTTATACAACGATCGACAATCCTTTGAAGAACGGTTTAAAATAAGCGAATCAAAAAATATGGAATTGATGAATATTATCGCAGCACATGAAAAGAAGATTGAGAACTATCTGGCGGTATGTCGATATATAACCATAGTATAAATATTATAAAATTTATCATCATTTATTTAGTAATATAAAGTATCATAATTTAATAAATTACAGTTCATTAAAAAAATTTTGCTAATTTATTTCAGTGTTATTTCCATATTTACATTAAATATTTAGGCGTTGATGTAATTTTTAAATTTAATTTTCACTCAGGCAAATTTATTAGGAAAGCTTATCATCTTATCACCCTACGATTACTTTTATAATTTTTTTCTTTAGAACTTTTAATGTTCTATTTCAGATTCTTAAAGTTGGTAAAGCAAAGTATGGAAAAATCAAGGTTGAGAACTATGAAAAGAATGCGCTTATCAGAGAATTAGAGGAACGCATTGCAATATTGCAAAAAGAAAATGATCATATACTTAATTATCAACGTGAATTACTCTCCAGTGTATGTTAAAAATTACCAAATTTTTTTAGTAAAAGTATAAACTGATTAGTATTGATAAAATGTTTTTTTTCAGAAAGTGACGCTAGAATCGATCGTTGATGATGGAAAAAAAGAGATTATAAATCTGAAAACAATAATCGACAAAAAGAATAAAGATGAAATCTCAAAAAATATAGAAATTGAGAAATATCGGATTGAAAAGAATGAAGTTGAAAAAAAGTATCATTTTTTTTCGATGTTTTTTTATTGTTATTGATTATGCATTCTAAAAAGGCCACTTTCATCGACTGCTATGTTTTATAAAAGTCTCAGTTAGAGTATGAAGTATAAAGGATTATAATCATTATTATAAATTATTATTTAGAAATAGGCAATTGCAACAGGATGTATTTGCTAAAAGCAATAAAATTTCTGCCCTACAGTCAGAATTACGAAGATTGTCAAACAATATTGGCTTCGGTGCGTTCTTATAATTCTATGTTCTTATAATTTTTCATTTATTCATTCTTCTTCTTACAACTCTCACTTCTAACAACTCCATAACTGGTTAGGCTTGCTCCAAGAGCTACAAAGGAAAGACGTTTCCAACCGACGCGATCTGATGCCATTGTCTCATTCATTCATTAAGGAATTTGATTTCATTTATTATTGAAAAACAAAAAATCTAAATATTTGTCCTTATTTTAAGATATTTCCACTTTCCACTTTTTCCACATATTTCCACTTTTCTCGGTCTTTTTTATCCTTATTTTAGAAATTTTCACCTTTTCCTGATGGATCGTTTTCTCGTTTACAAGTAATTTTGTTAATATAGATTTGCTTTTCTCGCTATGTTCATCTAGAAAATTGATATTTCTCATTGAATGTAATTTAGGGCAACGTAAAACAAGTTTACCGACTAATCCACTATCTGAAATCATGCCGCTTGATGTCTTTTCGCCTCCAGGACAATCATCACCTAATCTTACACCATTATCGTATTTTAAAAAAGTTAAATTCAAATAGTATTGTATATAATGGATTTCATTCAACTCAAATTTGTAATAAATTAAATGAAATAAAAATGAAATGTTTTATATTTTTTGCTGATCTATAAATTTAGAACGATCAAGACCCGGTTGAAAAACCTACTCCTACTAAAGCCTAATTTTTTTTACTTTTTTTATTTGATTTTTCTTTTTTCGAAGTGATTAGGTTGATATTAATTTTATAGTTTTAATTTTAGGTTGATATTAATTTCTTATTTTATGTTAAAATTGTAATCATGCTAAAATGCTTAACGATTAATTTCTTCCTGGTGTTAGCACCAATAGAATTTTGTTATCATGATTTATTAATGTACCAATCGTTTATCGTCCACATAAAGGATTTGATCTCGCTTTGATCTCTTACTTAATATTTTCATTTACTACTCTTATAATCTCTCACTTATTACGTTTAATTAATTTATTCACATGAATGTTTTCGATGAATTTTATATATTCTAATCAATCTATTGGTTTCTCTCATCTATTTTTTCAATACGTTCCGTTTTTGATTACCTAAACAGCTGTTAGGATGATCAGGGAAAATGGTATTCAGTACTATCCAGATGCTGCTATAAATCCGAAAATCAGGCTCGAAACGTGGTTCGAATGAGGCGTTATCCGACGAGTTCCATGTGATTAGATGTTATCTCCGATGCTCAAGTAAAGCAAAGCCCATGTTCAGGAAAAAAAAGGTGCTTTTGTTACAGGATTCTCAAGTTTTTTGATCTGAGATTTCTTTAGTAATTCTAATAATTATTGAAACCCTTTATTTATATGGTGCATCAGAAGCTAAAAATAAGAAATCGGGGAAATATTAATTTATTAAATTTATATTGTATTTCTCTTAAATGTGTTCATTTGTATTTCAATTTCTTAGTTTGTTTATAAATTAAGCATAGAGAAAGTATTATGAAAATGGTTATTTCCTACTCTTAAAGTGATTCGAGAAGCGTCAAAAAGCCCACACTGAGAACCATTGCAATAAGTGGTCAAATGGTAGCTGAAAGTGTCATCACAAGTACGGTTGGAGTTTCTCTAGAATAAAATAAGTAATTCCACTAAAAAATTCAGATCATTTTTGAAAGTCGCCAGTATTTTTAATCCCTCCCCTCCCTCCCCTCTTTTAGCAAATACTTTTCATAAGGAAATGGCGAAGCAAACCAATTTATAATGGTGCTTACTAAATTCAAATATTTGATACATATATATTATATAATATAAATATATATATTATACTTTATAAAATTATAAAATTATATATTATAAAATGTTATAATATATAATATATATTATGCTTTAGAAAATTTAAAAATGTCTTAATGATTGGATTTTATATCAAATCTAAAAAAAAGATTTCATTTTTAATTCATTCATTTTACTATAATTTTCAATTTCTTCTTTTGTATAACTGGTTTTTTTGCAAAGATATAGTTCGTTTGGTAAAAATAATAAAAAATTTTGAAATCTAAAAAATATCACATTATAAGCATTCATTCGCATTTGCTTACTTAAATAGCAGAGAAGCAACACATGATCAATTTTATATAAACAGGATAATATTGTGTCGCATTCAAACCATTTTATCACTTTGCAATGATAAATAACCAAGAAATTCAACGAAATGGTGTGGTCAATGTTGGTACTATTGTATTGTGAAATAATCAAAAAAAAACAGGAGGACTGAAAATTTACGAGGCTTCGAAGACTTTAGCGAGTGGATTATCTTTTGGGCTGTGTGAGTAATCCGGTTTCAAGCGTTTTTCAATCAATTCACCATAGGGACAAAAGCCAAGCCGTTCTATTTCGACCTGCAAATAATATCTACAAATATATATATATACAAATATATATATTCCTTTCTAAGCCTCTGTATGCAATATGGGTTATATTTAACCTTTCATTTTCCCGGATGCTTGAGAATTCTACGCGTCTTAGCTATGTAATACGCTCTTCTGAATTCTGATCTCTGATATTCCTGGAATCTATTGAAAGCACCTTTCTAATTAAAGGGCTACAGTCCCAAGTGCTCCAGTCGTCACTGGGATTATCTTGGCCTTCATTTCTTCCACGTTTTCTTTAATTTCTTTTTTAATCTTTGGTATTTCTCTGATTCTAATTTAAGTAAATTAAATTTTAAAAAAATTTGCTGAACTAAATTAGAAACATATTAGTAAAAGTGAATTAAAAATTTCTGTCACTTCGTAAATCTATCACTGATTTTTGATTCTTATCTGCTACGTTATCTGGTTGTTTAGTTTTGTCTATCTGGATGGAGAAATCCCATAAGGACTTAGCCTTATTCTTCATTATTTTCTGAAGAAACTCCCATCTTAGGAGAGTCCGAGCCATCCATATATTCATTCTGGATAGTTAATTGGCTTTTCACCCTATATTTACAGAGATATGCATATTATTTTCAATTAACAGATAGTTAAGAACGGAAATGCTTTTCTAGAAAAATTACGCCGCTTCACTTCGAATATTTTTTTAAATTACCTTTAATATGAACAGTTAATACGCAATTTTTTATTTTTTAATATTTTTTCTAAAATTATTCCATCAAAATAGAAAAAAAACAAAGTAAAAAACCTTCATAAGTTTCTTCAATGTTCTTTTCTCCTTTTCTTCATCGGATAAAGGTGGACGCAAATGGGTTATGACACCAGTTCCAATAGTTTTCGATCCTTCACGAAGCGTAAAACGTTGCTGTGGTTCGACATACATGGTAGAAGCCAGTGAAATTTCGACTCTACAATCAAAAATATTCTTGCCAAAGAAAAAGAAATTTTTTGAGATAAATATAATTATAATATTTTATCAAATTAAACTTTTATTTGTAATTTATTTTTAATTTGCAGTTAACACTTACTCGCCAGCTTCTCCAGGCATAATAAAATCTTTTCCTTTGATTTTCAAACGGCAAGATGTATCCCAAGTTAATGAAAAAATGTGTTTTCTGAAATAGTTTGCAACCGGTACGTTCATCCCACCTTCCTCTGGTTTTAACAGGTACATCTAAAAAAAAATCTGTCATTAAAATATACTTCATATAAAAAATTATGCAACTTGTTAAGAAATAATTTAACCATAATTATATTAATAAATTTAATTAATTAAATTAATAATTAACAACGGCATTGAAAGCGGCAACTTTAAGGCATAAATTTTATCCAGAAAATAAACCTGAGCATCAATTCTATCGGTAGTTGTCTGACTATGGCCTTGTGATAAAATAACATTTCCACGTTTTACTACTTTAGTATCAACACCACGAAGCAAAATTCCCAACTGATCGCCAGCTTCAGCCTGTTCCACAGTTTTCTTGAACGTTTCGATATCGAAAAAAATAATGGAAAGTTTTTTAATGGAAAGTCAAGAGACTAAAAAAAATAGTCAAATAAAATCTCTTAAAAAGTCCAAAAATTTTTGATAATACTTGCGACTGTAGATTTCACAGGACTTTTTCCATTGCCAAGAATTTCAACTTTATCATTTTTCTTCAATTTTCCTCTTTCCAGCTTTCCCGTAATAACTGTTCCGCGCCCTTTAAAATACTGCAAACATTAAAAAAATCCATACTCGCAAGTGATGCGATAAGATAAAATATAAAATATGTATTAATAGAAAAATTTTGCTAATGCTAATGTTTAATTTGCTTCATATTAAAAACCTCATAAAAAAACTGAAATTGTTAAACAACCTGGAATCGAATACACCTTTTCAGCGGGAAACATTGCTATAGTGTCGACATTACGATTAGGTAAAACGAAAACATCATCAAGCGCTTTTAGAAGTTTATGTATAGACTGTTCTCCAATTTCAGGCTTTTTATTTTCTAAAGCATATAAAGCAGAGCCAAATATTACCTAAAAATTAAGAAATTCAGGAAAAAGAAATCGAAAAACACGAGAAATATTGAAATTATAAGATATAAGATATTCTTACATGAAAGACATATAAAATATAAAAATCTTAAGCAAGTTCACCAGCCTGTTTTTTCTAATAAAATTCTTAAAATAAAAATATACTGGGCAATCTTCTCCTGGATAACCGAATTCATGCAGCAATTCACGCATTTCCATTTCTACTAATTCCTGAGTTTCTGCGTCTGGTACTTCATCAATTTTGTTCATATATACAGCGACATTTTGCACGGGAATCCCGACTTGTTTAGCCAAAAGTAAATGTTCACGAGTCTTAAAAACAAAACCATTCTGTACAAAGAAAAAAGGATAAATTAGAAAAATAGAATAAAATGAAAATAATAAACCAAATAAAATTTAAAAACAAATGATTAAAGAAATAGAATCTGGCATTCTAGAGGAATGTAACCATTATCAGAAATATCTCGTAGGGAGGATACCTGTGGCATGGCACCATCCGTTGCAGCAACTACAAGAATGGCCCCATCCATCATAGCTGCACCTGTGATCATATTTTTGATATAATCAAGATGGCCAGGACAATCAATATGCGCATAATGTCGTTTTTCCGTCTCATATTCGACATGTGCAGCTTGTATTGTAATACCTGAAAACTTAGTTGGATACACACCGATATTTGGAAATTATAATTTTGAAATAAAAAGACTGAATCGAAATCGAAATCTATGGATTTTTGACAATTGAATCAACATGTTAGAGGCAGTTAAGCAATAATACTAATAAATAAACAAATAAAAAATTAGTATTTGGAACTCGCCTCGAGCTTTTTCTTGCGGTATATTATCAATATCATCATATTTCATAAATTTAGCCAATTTTTTCGCCGATAGCACTGGAATTATCACATAATAATTTTACAAAAATATTAAAGAGTTTTATCGAAAACATTATTAAGATATGATTAAGATAAAAAAATTAAGATATATAGAAATAATTTCAATCAACTAAACGTTGCTGGCAGAAATATTTATTAGAGTGGAAAATACCTTTAGTAATCGCTGAAGTAAGAGTAGTTTTGCCATGATCGACATGTCCGATAGTACCAACATTCATATGTGGTTTGTTTCGTTTATATACCTCTTTGGTGGCAGGCATAGCAAGATTACGTATATTTTGCAAAATAAGTTTTTTTCTTGTCTCAAATTTCAATGAACCAAAAAATTCTGCAAATAAACTCAATTATTTTAAAATCATTAAATTAAGCCAAAAATATTATAAAAAATGTAAAATAACTATTTATAATTGCTTAATAAATTAAAAAATTTCATTTCATCGAGTTGAAACGGAAAATTTAATAAATAAAGGAGGAATAGTCAATTAAAATAATGATAAAGCTAGATTATCACTAAACTAATTTTGGATTTATTTAGCATTTTAATTCCAAGCTGAAATTTTCTACATCAAACATTAAAATTGAGATATTTTTTATTATCAAGCAAATGCCTTAGGCACTTCAGAAAATTTATCAACTTATCAACTATCAATCTTAAATTAATAAATCTTTGAAAATATTTAGAGAAGAAATTTACTAGATGTTGCTGGCGTGAAACGATTGCAAAATGCGTATACGTACATTTTCGTTTTCAATTTACTATCGACAACGAGAAAATCTGAAGAAAATTTAAATATAAAAAATGAAAAATTATATAAAAAAAATTAAAAAGTATAAAATTTGTAGAATTATAAGTAAAAATACTAAAAATATAATATTTCGTGGATAATAGAGAACAATGGTTGCCAAAGCTTTTTTTCACGGACTCCCGAGAAGATATCATAAAAATTCATGTACACATACATAAATTGGAAAATAAAAAAAGAATATATACATATATAATTTCTGTCAAAGCGAAAAGCAGATTTTAAGCCTAAAGGGTGCTTTCATCCCTATATCTATGCGGCTGTATTTTGCAAAATCCTGTTATAGTCCAAAACCCCAGTTTGGAAGGTACCAACAAAATACGAGAAATTTCGACCACATCACTCAAAGGCATAACAGCCAAGTTGATAAGACCTCATATGACGTGACAGCTTTAGTAATCTCAATCAAGAACTGAACTTGTACAGCCAGGAGAGAAACATATGCGATCCAGCAATATAGAGGATACCGGCTGGAGACCGTATCTGTATGTCTATCGCCAAGGAGACCCCTCTAGAAATTGACAAGCATGACAAACCAGAGGGGCGAGTCTAATCGGCGATGGTGAGAACTCTTAAAAAATATATACTTGAAAAAGAGTGGTACTTGTTGCTTTCAAATTTGGTATTGGCCTAAGGAGCTTGGAAGCATCCGACCCTTGAAGTCAACCAGACTATGCAGAAATAACAACCAAAAAAACCCACCCACAAAAGATTCAATGGTAACAAGCCTTCCGCCAAGCGAACGGCGCAAAGAATTTAGAATTTAGACATAAAATTACCTAGCAGAACCTGTCATTTAGAAATCTTAAAATGTCGGTCTCGGATAAACACAGCTCGTATATTTTTTTGTAAAGAGTCTTCAGCATTATTGGTTAAGCTCGCTCCACTGACTTGTCGCATTGGGCAGTGTGCCAGGGAATCCCTTGGCGATAGAAATGCAGGAGAGTCACCAGCATCACCCAGAATTTTGGACAGGTTCACTCCTGCGGGGAATCGAACCTCGGCGCATCGGCGATCCTAACTGAGCAAAAACCCACTGGGCTATTCTATCCCCAAACATAGCTCAAATTATTACCAAGTGAAGCTAGGAATAAATATATTTTTAGTATAGTGCCGTGTTTCCTCGTTTATTGATCCGGGAGATTAGTACGGGCATAGAAATACTATGGAACTTGGGAATTCGAGTTGTAGTTAAAATAATGATTAAAAATTAATTTTTAATCATTATTTTAATAAGTTATTTTATTTTCAAATCACAAGCTAAAATATCACTAAGGTATCTCACCTGTTGCGAAACGGAGGCGAAAGCAAAAAGGCCACTTTTAGCGTCGGTTCCACTCTTTTAGGTTGCATCCGTGAGGCTTTTATCTCCGCAACTGGGCCATTATCATATTTTTTTTGCCTTAGCCCTAGTCTGCGTTTTGCTTTCTGTGTGGATGGAAAAAAAACTTCCACTCTTTAGAACGCAATAGTTGCTTGCGTATATTTTACTATTTTTACTCTCTCTTTGGCTATATTTTGTAATAATCGTATATTAGGATTGTTTCGTTATGAGGCTGATTTCACGGCTGTTCCATAATGGCGAAGTTGAAGAAAATATTTCAAGTTGCAACTATCCAAGCGGAAATTGTATCTATGGCTTGGCTATTTTGGCTATTAGAAAAAAAAGAATTTTTTCTTATTTATCAATCTATCTGAAGTCGGCTGCATTTATCTATGTGGCCTTAACCAAACTTAAATTATCTTCATTTCAGTACCTGATCATATCACATTATCTAAATTATCAAACTGCCTATCGAAACGTTTGAGCAGATTTCAGTGTAAATTTCCGCCTACATTTCCCTATCATAGCTTTAGTTCCCATGTATTTATATTCTATTTAATGTATTATTTTTTATATTTTTTATTTATTTCCGTGCCAAATTTACTCAACTCCGTTGGCGATGCTCGTTCGATCGAGAAAATTTTATCAGAGAATCACTTGGTGATAAAGATAGAAGTAAGGACCCTCTCTCTAGTGCTTATCGCTAGTACCACATGGATTTCTAAAATATAGGTTTATTCCTTTCGAACGTATATAAATTGTGTGGAGGCAATTGTTGATTTATGGAAATATTTTAATATAATAAAAGAGCAAAACCAAAATTTATTAGTTACAATCACATTCAACTATGTTTAAAGTAATTGTTAGTAAAGTAAGTGGAGGGGAAAGCAAATTCATACAACACGATGCCAACTCATTTTGTCGAACTGTTGGGAGTGTCGAGTTTTAGCTGTGGATTAACGAACTTTGCCGAAATAAACTTCATACCAGACGAATAGGATGATGTTAGAAGAGGAGAGAGGTAAATGTTCGTAAGATCGTTTAAGTTTCTTTATGTGTGCTTCCTCACAAGACGTAAGGTGGAGAAGGCAGAGAGGAGTTGGGGAGGGTTTGGAGTGAGGATGGAGATGTGGGAGTGAACTTTTAGGGGTAAGAATGGTAGGTGGGAGGAAAATGAAGACAAATTTGCAAGGTGGAGGCTAAAAGGCAAAATCCATAGACCCCCAGTGCAACTTTTTCAAATTCTTTTTTTTAAATTTTAGATATTTATCAAAATTTTCTTAGAGTCTTAAATGAAATAAGCTACATAAATTGAAGAGATAGAGGAATGGGGGAGAGGAATTCTTTGGAATAATTGATTCGGGAATAATTGTTTCGCTATGGCATCGAATGCGGATTCTGATAATTTCGATCTAAATGTTTATGTTTTCTTTCGTTTCTTGGTAATTTATTTTATTAATAATTTTAACGTAGTCCGATTGTTTTAATACAGTAGGAAAGCCGAAGTAAGATTTTCCAGCTTTAGAATTTCAAATATTTATTAAATTTTTCCACTTAAATGACTCTGAATGCTGCGTGAAATATTCATTAAAAATAATTACTATTGAAATAGAATAAGTTTTTGTGAATTAAATTCTGTGATTACGCACCCAGTAAAAGTTTCTATGGATCATAGGTAGTCCGTAGGGATCACTTTGACGACCATCATTTTGGTAAAATAAAATTTTTGCTTATTGATAATCGTTGCTTGTAATAATTATTAAAATAATAATTTATGATTAATTAATTTAATAATTAATTCTAATTTTAATTTTAATTATAATTTAATAATTTAATTTTAATTAAATTAAATTAATTAAAATTTTAATTTAGTTATAATTTTAATAATATTTAATTATAATTAATTATAGTTTTAATTTTATAATTTTAATCTTAATTAATTTTAATTCTTAATTTAATTTTTAATTTTTACGATGCTTATGCGTTTATCATAAAATTTAAAAAAAAGTAAATTATTTTTTTTTACTGCAACTTTATAGAGATGGTTGAAAAAGGTGAGAAAGATTCGAAAGATAAACGTAAACGTCAAGAATCGACCTCGAGTTCATCATCGGCCTCATCCACCGGTTCTTCGGGAAGTTCTTATTCATCTTCTACTGGATCGTCTGATTCGGATAGCTCAACCACAACTTCATCTTCGCGTTCACCATCTCCAGCCAAAAAAAATGGACATGGGAAAGGTCCTTTCTTTCATTTGTTTTTTTATTTTATTTAATTTTATTCTTCTCCTCTCACCATTATTGGTTAGGCTGGCTCCATTGGCTACAAGGGTAAGACGTTCTCAAGCTCCGCGGTGCCATCTTATTCCATCGATACCATCGATAATAGCAGAAGTCACTCCTTTTTCCATCGTCTATGTCCATATATTGCTGGTCCATCCAAAATTTAAAATATTTCCTGGTCCAGGTCTTGATTGGCCCACCTCTCCTTTGATATCACCAGACCACAGGGTTTAGCAAATGATGAAATATATGTCAACCCTTGTGGTGGGCGACAAAAACGTGTCCTAACCAGCGATGCCGACGCTCTGTGATGGTACTATTAATGCAAGCGATATTTGAAAGAAGGTGGATTCGATTATGTAAGATTTTATCCACTCTGCGAACCTTAGACATAAGTGGTTAAAGGCAGATAACTCCACTCTTATTGGCCATATCTCACGACCATATAGGAAGATCGAATCATAGCTATATAGATGCGGACTTTCCTTTTTATGCTAAACGGTGTCTATAATGGTGTCATCAATCGGAAGAATGCATTTCTATTTGCCGTTATCCGTGTTGTAATTTCGTCTTTTGTCTGGCCATTCGGTATTCGGTAGAGCAGATTCAAGTATATAAAATCGAGCATTTCCTCAGCCGGCAATGAATTTATAAAAGAAGAGGCATTTTATCAGTTTCTTGTATGGCGAAAAATAAAGCGAAAAATCTTTCGTTTAATTTATATTGATCCTGAGTCCGATTCTCGCTGTACTTGTTGGCACATTGTTACCACATTTGGTCATAACTGTCAATAAAAAGGACTACATTGTCAGCGTATTCAAAATCTATGATCCGATTCCCGGATTTGTACACTTCTTGAGTACCAACGGGGAATGTCCATGTCCATTATCCAGTCTATTGCATAGCATTCAATACATTAGGGAAAAGAAAGGACATGGATAAAGATAAGGAGAAAGAAAAGGAAAGGAAATGGTTATATTACTTTTTCATTAATGCCTATTTCTATGATATATTATTTTCATTATAACTTTTTATAGGTTCATTTTTCTTTAAAATTTGGGTGATTTTAAAATTTCACGTTTGCAGAGCGAAATAAGAGCCCGGTTCGACGTTCGCGTTCACCGCGTGCACAAGCGCGTGCTGATCGTGGTGAAAAAGCTACAGTTGCTTCATCACGTCGTTCTCCGAGCCCTGAACGTCGTCGTCGTCGTACTCCACTTTCTCCTAAAAGACGTGGATCTCCCTCACCTAAAAGACGTGCTTCACCTTCACCGAAACGACGCAGTTCATCATCACCAAAACGGCGTGATCGTAGCATAAGTAAGGATCGAGATCGTCCTCGTGATCGTGATGTACGTCGTGAACGTTCACGTTCAAAGGATCGTAAAGCTGCTTCTCCAGGTCGCAGAGGAACTCCTCCGCCAAGACGACTTTGTGTACGCAATTTAAGCAGAAACGTTACGAAAGAACACCTTAATGAAATTTTTAGCATTTATGGAGCAATTAAAAATTGCGAAATGCCAATGGATCGTCAGCATACACATCTTGGAAGAGGTATTTGTTTGTTATGATTGAGGTTTTAATCATTTATTTAGTTCTTTTTTATCAATTTTCCAAAAAAGTGTCTTATGTTTATAGGTTATGGTTATGTGGAGTTTGAACAGCCGGAAGATGCCGACAAGGCTATGAAACATATGGATGGTGGTCAAATCGATGGTCAGGAAGTAACGTGTGAACTTACCCATCCACCTCGTACAACTGTTAACAGTGGAGGGCGACGGCCTATTTCACCACTGAGGTATGTGCTTGTATCCTTGTATCCTTCATTAACAGCGAACTTAAATTAAGGTTTAAATTCAAACGAATGAAAATGTTAGCGACACCGTTTTTCTTTTTTTTCTGTTTTTCCTTCACTTTAATAAAATTATAGATATCGTGGTGGTTCTCCTCGTCGATACCGCAGCCCTCCTTTTCGTGGACGTGGTACTGGCGCAAATATTGCTCCTCTTGGTCCCAGTCGTTTTAACCGATCTCGCAGTCGCAGTCCACGTCGAAGGAGAAGTCGTTCGTAAAATATTTGTTCTTTAAAAACTCTCGAAGTTCTCACTTAACTCTTATTAGCAATTGGTGAGTTCTAAATCGACTGAATAAATTTAATGGCAATTAAAATAATCAGAAATTTCTTCTTTGTGGTTAATTAATTTTAATCATTATTCGGTTCATTTGATTTAATTTTTTATCATAATAATATAATAATATCAACAATTGGTTGTTTTTTTCACTGTCAATTTTGTTAAGTTTCGTCAACTTTTATATCATTATTTTTAAAAAAATATCGATCGTTGTTTATTTTTCTTATTAATAAATGATAAAACGGTAATATTTTATTCATAAACTGAAGAAAAAAATCTTAATATTATATATTAATAATTATTATCAATAATCAATTTCCATTCATTTTTTTATTACATTACAAATTACATGGTAAAGGATGGTCATATGCATTGACAATGTTTTAATGAATATGGTAGCTAGTTAAATTCAAGTTCTTCCATTTTTTTTAGATAAAAAAAAAGATAAATACCAATAAAAAATAAAAATCTACAATTCCTCCATTATTTACAAGAACTAATAGGAACAAAAGATTAACTGATTGAAAAATCAGGTTTTTTTATCGATTATTTATAAAAATAAATAATAAATACCCATTCCCACAATATAAAATATGTCACTGGAAAATCAGAGCCGAAATCGGAAAGATGGAACTACAGTGGAACTGTTACCAAATCTTGAACATCGTCTACATTCATTTCATTCCTAATTCTCGTCTTGCAAAGATAATAGATTTTGCTATTAAGTTGACTCCAGGCGAATTAATTGGTTACTATAATCAGCTAATTCCTTCAATGATACTCGACCTCGTTGATTGATAAATTTTGCAACTTAAAATTGTCTAAATTAACACAAAAAGAAAAAAAAATATGAGGATTGATGTTTTAAAATATAAACAATAGAATAATATAAAAGTCTACAATTCCATTACAAAAACTTATAAAAAAATTAACTGATTAAAAGTGAGGTCTTTTATCGATTATTTATAAGGATAAATGATAAAATAAAAATATCTGTCCGCCCGGAATGCAATATTAATGGAAAACTTAAGAATTTGAATATGTGCGAGATAAAAATGTTTAAAAATACTAAAAATACTCACCAGCTTGAAGCTCTTCGGGAGTAATATAGATAAACTTTCCGCGATCATCTACAATTCCTGTTAATTCACCACTATCCATGAAATACTTTAAACGATCGACGGCTTGATCCGTTTTCAGATTAAAATGTGAACCCAACTCATCCATATTAACTACCTAAAAGTCACCAAGGAAATTTCGTTATTGGAAAGACGTTAGATAAGGTATTTCTCTAGTTCATATTATTATAATATATTCACTTATCAAAGTGCCGCCAAAGTACCCATTTTTCTGGCTTTTATGTTGCTGGCCTTTTCTGTATTGTCGTTTCCATTGTTATAGTTTCGATTATCATTGATGAAAAATTTTTTAGTCTGTGTGAAAATTCGTAATTGTCTTAATGACAGTTTGAAATGTTATATTGTGGCCTAATTATTTTTTAATTTCTGAGTAAATAAATAAAAAATAAAAAATTTGAAAAAAACAAAAAACGAGGAAATATACCTTGGTTTCTTTGATATATTTTAGAAATTTTTGCACTAAATCTTCGGACAAATCACTTTCTAATTCATCAAAACCTTCTTCATCAACACAAAATTCAGCTTTCATCTGCAAAAAGCAAGGCAATATAAAAATAAGAAAAAAAATTTTTTCTCAATATCTACTATCAGTTAATTTTAAAAAGATATTTATATTACTTTCTGGTATTCTTCTTCTTCTCGCTTTTCACGTTCCATTTTCTCTATTCGTTTTTTTTCTTCTTCAGCTTTTTCTTCCTGCAATCTTGCTTCCTCCTCTTGTTTCATACGTTCTTCTCTTTCTTTTTCACGAAGTTTCTTTTCTTCACGATTCGCTATTTCCTTTAAATTTTTAACCAATAATAACCAGAAATAAAAACAAAAAGCTCAAATTTAAAATTTTTTCAGTATAAAATTCGAATTTCTTTATTGGTCTGCATTGGAATTTAAGAAAATTATATCGGTAAAACAAAAAATTAGCCAAACAAACGAAGAAAAAATTGAAAAAAATAAAAATCTTTCGCATTTCCTTCCTTCTTTGTTCAATTTTTCTATAATTAAACAATCATAAATGAAGAAAATTTTAACACAAACAGCTTCTCGTTGAGCTTTCTTCTCTGCTTTAGCTTGTAATTTAGCCATTTTTTTCTTTCCGATATGTTCATCGACTTTCAACGATTGAGTTGGTACATTTTCTGAAAATATCTCGTTTTATAAAATTACTAAATAAAATATAAATATCCACCAAACCTTGAATTAATTGAACTTCTAATGAATTCGATGAGAAAATGAATAAAATTTAATAAAAAAACAAATCAAAAAAAAAAACCTTCATCTGATGGTGTGGCTTGATCACCAAGCTGCCTAGCAAAGCTTCTATCTTCTCCATCATCGGTATGAAATCGCCGTCTTGTAACTACTCGGCGTCTTCCACCAATCACTATAACCAAATATGATTATATTTGTACCAAAATTTGTGGTGTGGACGAATTAAGAATTTTTAGTAGCTTAAAAAAAAAAATTAATCTATAGGTTGAATTAAAATTTTCCACTTCAAGCGGAATTATAAGCTAATTTTTCCAGCTATATCATTTTTCAAACATATTAATTTTATAATATAGTTAATAAGATAAAAGGATGAAAACGAGAGAGAGCAAATGACTTATCTAATTATCAGTGATCACAGCTCTAAGAATATACCACTGATCAATGGCTGCTGTGTGGCGCAAAAATGGTTACTTCCATGTCACCAATTCATATGAATTAAGTAAGAATAACTATTTGTTTTTCGATAATTTAATTTAATTATTTTGATTTACTTATTTATATAAAATAAAAGAGATTTGCGAACTTCACCAAACTATTAAAGAACCTAAAATTTTTACCAAATTACCAAAAAATGACAAAACTCTCATAGAAGTTTTTACTTTTCACTTTGAAATACGTTATTTTGATACAGTAGAATAGAAAATACTCGCAGTTTTCATTAAATTCTCAAAAAAATCTTTAACTTTCACCGATCAACCAAAAAAAATGCATAGCTTTGCCAAGCTACCAAAAAATGCCACAATTTCCAATACATAGGAATTCACTTCTTTACTGGACTAACCATACCTCTAAATAACCTCTCGAAAAATTCCCTTCATAAATTTATTTGTGATATTGATTGAGACATTTACCTACGATTATCTATCACATATATACTTATTTTGACTTGGCTTACTTTGTAATTCTCCTCTATTTCTTTATTGTCTCGTTCTTAGCTTTTGGCCATAATTCTTTTGTCATTTATATCGCAATTTGCTATTTATGCAAGCAAATGGCACTTGTCACCATACTTGGTTGCTTAAATAAATAGCGCTGTGAAAGAAGTGTCGCTAAAACCTCGTCCGACTCTCCAAAGAATCATTAGCTTTCGTCGAGATTCTTTTATTAAGAGCGGATTCAAAAAAATTTTTAGTACAACTAGATGGTGCATTGAATAAAATCTTACCCTGAGGCGCGTTCCTCATTCGCCGTTGATTATCTTCATCGGCGGCCATCGCTAAAATCGTTTCGGTACGTTGATGAGCTCTTTTCTCATCGTAATGCAATTTTATTATTCGAGCAACAATTAACACTAATGCCGTCAATAAAAAACCAACTGAACCAAGAAATAATGGATCAAAGTCGATCATTTAATTTCTTAAAAAAAAAAAATTCAAAAATTTAAATTTAAATTAGAAAATTCAATTTTAATTTTTAATAATAATAAAATATTTATTGAAAAAATGAAATAAAATAAAATTTTCCGCTTATTGAAAAAATATTTTTTAAAAAAAAATTTTCTTTTAAATATTTAAAAATATATTTTTAATGAATCTTACGATAAATTTGATTTATAAATAACAATTTTTCATCGAAAAATATGAAATAAATTCTAAATGAACCAAAAGACCTCCCTATTTTTCCTATTTCAACTATACAATAAAAAAATTTAATTAATTAAAAAAAGTCAGAAGCATATATAAAGCTGCAAATTAGTCCTACTAACTCTCAGAGAAATTGTGTTATGATTGAATTAAGTGTGGCAGAATAGCCAAGTGTTTAGGTGACCCAGTTAATCATCTCGTGCTTCATGTCTCATATTATACATATAATAGAGATGGTATTTTCATCAACAAAATTATCTCAGGTGATTCATTTGCAGTCATCTGGCAGCAATAACAATAACCGTATGGTAGCAAACCATTCACCGGTACCAACGACCAGCGCACCAAACCTAATCAGAAACAAACTGCTCACTTTACTTGTTTACTTTTGGATAATCACCAATCACCTATTTCTCTATTGGATAATAAATTGAATAGATGGAAAATGCTTCTAAAAGTGTTCACTACTGCTCAATAAATTCGCTCCGCTGGCCTATCGAGTCAGACAGAATTCACCATAGAATCACTTGGCGATTGAATCGTCAGATTCACCTCATCACCCGAATCTTTTGAAATTTTTAATTTCAATTTATATTGAAAAATTTTATTTAATTCAAATTGGAAATAAAAATTTTAACAAATAAATTTTTAAAAAAATATAAAATTTACAAGAAAATGAATAAATTCAACTTATTGAAAGAGAACGAAAATTTTATTAAATAAAAAAATTATAACAATAATAATAAATAATGGTTTATTTATCGTATAATAAGTAGTGATAACATTAAAAAAATTATTGATAAGAATTATTAAATCGCTGAAATAAATGGGTTTTAATATTTATTTATAATAGAATATTAAGAATATTTGTGATATATTTATTGCATAATAAATGGTGATAATATTGATAAAAATTATTAAATAACTAAATTAATAGATTTTATCCAAAAATATTTTATTCATAAAGATTGATAAATTTCAACCAAATATTTTCGAAAAAATTGGCCAAATTTCAGTAATTTTCAGCGTTTTCACATTAGCAATAAAAACAAATAAATATTGAAATATTAAAATAAATATTGAAAATTAATCTGATATTTTATATATCTGCTGAAAACAACAATAAGAAAATCTGTACAGCATATAGGCTAGGCTCTTCCAAAATCAGATGGGAAAATCTAGAAAAAATCATGGAAAATAACAGAGCCAAGATCTTGTAGAACTTCCCGTTCCAGATGGATGAACAAGTGCTGGCCAATCAGGATGTTAGATTGTGGATGTTAGATTTAGAAGAACCAGAAAAGAGAAGTAGTGGTGAAGGAAACGATAGGAACCTCAAGAAGAAATATGAGAAGTTAAAAAAATACCGGGGACTGAAAAATGAAAGAGACGAAATGTGGAAAGCAAAGGTGCTTCCGGTAATAAAATGCTTCCGGTGATAGCAAGAATACTAGGTACTACGGGTTCTGAATCCTTAAACTAGAAAAGTAGTTTCAACTGATTCCAGGAGTAACAACAAAGATCTTTGAGCATTTCTAGAAACAGCTATGATATTACGCAGAACCCTCAAGCTCGCATACCTCTGGTGGAGAAATCGAAGTTGATGATACCATTCACGAAGATTAATATATATAAATATACATACATATATATAAATTTAAAGCAAAATAGATGTGTGGAAAAAATTACTAGCTATAATTTGCAATTTAATAAAATGTTCTAAAATCGGTCCTTGTTCGAATCCATATAAATTTTTGGTACTCCATTCCTCCATTCGCTAATGGTACACATATGTTTTCCTCTTTCCAACTGCTATCAGTTAAGAAATCGCTGTAAGAAATTTAGCACGAATGAAGAAATATTCTGCCCTGAGGCTATGATAATGGTTTTTTTGCAACTAGCAAATTTAGTTTTAGTCAAAGAAATGCACAAATTCATAGATATGTAATTGTAATATGTGCTTTTCCGGCGATGTCGTTGCTCTTAGCAACAGGCATAATTTACTTCTATCGTATTTTTCTGGATTTTATATTACCATTAAATTTTAGTGTTTTGAAATACCATTCCTCTACTGTGGTCAGCCTTAAGCGTCTCTCATTATGTCATATCGAGAAATTCGAAGTAAGTTCCACTAAATATCGTTATTCTCTTCAAAAAAACGCATTTATTTTAATTTTTTATCCGTCATATCAACAAATATATTAGCCAAAATATAAAAAAAAAACGATTGTAGATATGGTTGAGATGTTACGAGCATTAGGATATCCTCGATTAGTGTCAATGGAAAATTTTCGAATACCAAATTTTAAACTAGTTGCAGAACTTCTTTTATGGATTCTTGCAAGGTACCAGTAAAATTTATCTTATCACGAAATCTTATCATTGATTATCCTTTAATAAGCAATCTTTTATAATTTTACCGATATCACTACTCTATATCACTATTTTCAACGACTTATATCACTATTATCACTATTCTATATCACTATTTTAGATATGATCCAAATAGTACATTATCACTTGCTATAGATACAGAAAATGAAAGAATCATTTTTATCAAATCAGCAGTTTTGGCTTTAGCACAAAAAGCACGTTTGAAATTGAACCCAAAAAAACTCTATCAAGTAAATATTTACTTACTATTTCATTTCCTTGCCTTCATTTCTTTTTTCTTTATTTACTTTTTACAATTTTACGAAATTTTCTTATCAGCTAAATTCTTTATAATGGCATTTTTTTAAGATTAAGAATATTGTTATAGGCGGATGGATATGCGGCACAAGAATTGGCTGTGGCAGTGCGTAATTTGTATGAATTGACAAAGCAGCCAGTTGATCACGATTTTAGTTCAGCCGTAAATTCGTTACGAACAAAAATTAATAATAAAGTATCGAAACTTTTTAATTTTATAAAAATAGAATTATCAAATTATCTTCTTCTTTTAACAATTCTCATCATTACTGATTAGGCTGACTCTGCTGGCTATAAGAGTAAGACGTCTCCAAGCTGTTCAGTCCGGCGCCATTATTGCCGATAAGAAAAAGTCATCCTTTTTTCCATCCTTTAAGCCTATATGTCACTGGTCCCCCTATACCTTCAGAACCTTTCCTGACCGTATCAGTCCAAAAGTCTTGACTGGCCCACTTCGCTTTTGGCACAATCCATTACTGATTTTAGCATGTAACGAAATATCAACTCTTGTGGTGGGCGACGAAGAACGTACCCTAACCAGCGCAGGCGAGGGTAGAATTAATGCATGTAGTAATTAAGCGAATGTGAAGAATTATCAAATTTTATTAAATCGTTTTAAAAATTCATCCATTTTTGATTATCATTCTTATCATGATTTGATTCTCATTATGCTAAATCTTTTATTCAATAACCAGCTCATTGTTTTTCATTATGCTCGCTTCACTGGGTTAGGCGAATTTTATCATTTTGTCAGCATCAACTGGATTTTTGAAAAACATGTTTGACACTAATGGAACTACAATATTGGCGCTCCAAAATGAGAACAATTAAGCCATTAAGCTAAAATCCAATCGTATTTAGCCAATTTATTATTAATTTAATTAATCGTAAATTTAAAATTTTTTAAATATTTTTAAAAATAAATTTATTAAAGATGCAAGAATTACGAGCATTTCGACAATTGGCAACGCAAATACCACAGAATGCGGCGACACTTTATGATCTACTAGCAAAGGAAATCACCGCTAGAGTTAATGAAATATTCTGAATTTATTTTTGACTGATCGTGGTCATCCAGTGGTCGTCAAAGTGGTTTCTCTCCACTGGACCCTAAGATGTCATAAAAATCCATGGATTTTGAAAATCCTTTGAAATTTTACATTTTTAAAATATTTAGTAAATTTTTTTCACCTAGTTGAATGCAATACTACAGGAACAATCATCAAAAATGCTTTGTTACCATACCAATAAATTGATAGAATATACAATTCGACATAAATTTCTACGCATTTTCTGAGAATTTCCGAGGGCTTCAGGGAGTCCGTTGACTTGACTTTGATGCCAGTTTGATGACTATTTGACTAAACCAGCTAAATGAATAGAACGAATTCTTTATTTGTTTTCAGTTTTCTAGGAAGAACGAGCCAAAGCATTATCATTTTCGCTTAATATAACTGAAGCCGAAAAAGCTGTAAGAGAAGGAACTGAAGTACTTGAGGTTTGTAATTTTCAACATACCTTTATCCTTCACTGGTGAAAATATTCGAAATGCTAAATCATATTTGAATGAAAGCATGAAGGACCAATCAAGACTTTTAGTTAGGAAAGATTTTATGCCTATAGACAGCTCAACGATATTACAAAAAGAGAGATGGAAAAAAAGAACGAAGTTCTTAATCTCTATAGCATCAAATCGAACTCGACCTCATCCTTTTAGCCAGCGGACTCAACCTAACCAAAAATTACGCAAGTTAGTAAGGAACGCTGGAATGGAGTATATCTATTAGCCTATCAAGCCAAGAATTTTGAATTAGACTCGACTAATTATTAAATTTATAAATATATTATTTTATGCATTTGAAAAACTTTTGTATATTTCAGGAAGAAATAGCAAAAATCAGTGGTAACCTGGCTAATATAGCAAATGATGAGGCTGCTCTCGACGTGAAAATAGAACGCAAACAACGCGAATTTGATCAACAACAAAAACGCCTTGCTAAACTTCAAGTTTGTCATGATTCTTATATTTCGAAGTAGCCACATCCCAAGATATTATCAGAAAGAGTAAAACTGGGAAATCACAAAATTTGGAACCACTAATTACGTAGATCGATAATTTTAAGCCATATCCGTTGCAGATTGACGCATTTTTACAGTTCTAAAAGTTAGTAAATGGCTCACGCTTATCATTTCTGATAATTAAGCTGATTAGGCTGATTTGGCTTAGAAAATTTCATAATTGAATTACTTGGCGATAGAAATTGTATTGGCAAATATTGCGCTAGCCAATAATTTCTAAATTAATAATGATAATACTATTTTGAAAAATTTTATAATTTTTCAAGAATTTTCGACCACAACATATGGATGAGTATGAAAAATACGAAAATAAACTTAAAGAACTTTATTCAATCTATGTTTTAAAATTCCGTAATGTTTCTTATCTGAAGCAATTACAAGTTTGTTAAATTTTTTTTATCATCTAATTTTTTTATCACTTTATTGAATTTTTTTATTATCTCTAATTTTTATCACTTTATTAAATTTTATTAAATTTATTTAAATTTAAATTAAATTTAAATTTAAATTAAATTCTTACTAAATTTTTAAATTTATTAAATTTATTTTTAAATTTATTTATTTTATTATTAAATTTTTTTAATAATTAAATTTTTTAATCATCTAATTTTTGAAAAAAAAAATTTTAGAAAGAATTTAATAAAATTGAAAAACAAAAAAATATCGAAGCCGAGCAAAATATGCGACAAACCGTTGAACGTATGCGAGCACAAGAAAATAATTTTCGAAATCAACAGTTTAGCTTAATTTATTTTTTTACATAAATTACATAAGAATTTAAAAATTCCATCTTTTTTGAAATTTCATTATTTGTAAGAAAAATTAATTTTTTATTTCCTTTTTTTAAATATTTAATATTTTTAATATTTAATTAATTAAGTTTAATAAAATAATGGCGATCTTTAGAATCGATGCGCTTGGCGACGAGAGAACGCCACCTGACACGTCTAAAAGCGGTTCGAGGATTTTTTTGAGATTCCACAAAACCTCTAATAAATATTCCCTTAAAATCCAAAGTTCCACTCTCTCCCAGATTAAATAATAACTCTTAATATCCATTCCTATTTTATCGGCTATAGTTCCACGGTATTTGACCGCACATTGCAAACGGTAAAATTTCAAAAGATAACATCATGGTACCTTAGCATATTGAAAGAATGAGAAAAATGGAGAATGCAGGATTTAAATGCTTAAAAGAAGAGGGCTCGGGAATAAGAAGGTTTTCAAGGAATATAAGCAAATTCTTTTGAGGAAATATTATCTCAGTGTTTTTCCAGAATTCCGAGATAATTCCGCTTATCCATATTTTCCAAATATTTAATATTATTTTATTTATTTTATTTTATTTTATTTAATACTTTATTTATTTTTTTATATTTTATTTGTCTTTATTTAATTTGATTTAATTCAATAAAAAATATTTTATGACTATATATTGTGAGATTTCCAAGAAAACCAAATCGATAAGACAATATCTTAAACTCTCCAATTTGGTACCAAAATATGTAGCAATAAAATTTAGCAAGAAGAGTGTACGGTAGTATGACGGGTGCTGGTTTAACTGATGAAGATAACGATGATGATGATGATGATGATGATGATGACGAGGACGAAGTCGATGATGTTGATAATAATGATACTACTGATAATATTGATAATGATGATGGTAAGGTTCGTTCGACAGCAAAAATGAAAAGAAATCGCAAAGTTAGTTGAAATCTTTTTTTTTTTAAATAAAATAATAAATATTTTTAAATTGAACTAATATTTTTCAAATTTATTTAAAATATTGATATTTTATAAAAAACATTTATTTATTATAAAATATTCTTTTATAATTTGTTGAATTATAATTAAAATAATATAAATTTTGTCTATTTTTTCGATTATTTTTAAATTTCAATTATTTGAAAATAATATATAATTTAAGAAATTATTTAAAATAAAAATTTAATTAAAATAAAACTTTTATAATAAAAATTAAAATTTTCAATACATAATTTAAGAATTGTTTAAAATAATTTTTTAAAATAAATATTTAATCATTTCTTTTTTTCTTGCAAAAATGTTTAATTTTTTTTTTTTTGTTTCAGAAAAATATTTCAAACGAAACTGACGAAAGTGAAGAAAAATACGAAATGAATAGCGAAGATGGTTTTTAATAATTTTTTAATTTTTTGAAATTGTTTTTCGAAAATTTATTTTTTTTTTCGCCGAATTATTTTAATTTTTTAATTTAATTTTAGCAATTTTTTTCATCGAATTTTTATTTTCTTATATTAATGAAAATTTTTGAATTTTTCCGAAATAAAATTATTAAAATTGTTTTTATTAAAATTGTTTTCGCCATTAAATACATTTCAAATATTATAAAAAAGCGGTTTGAAATCATTCAACGATTAGCAAAAGGAACAAAGAAATGAAAAGCATCGTCCGACATTTCCATTTGATTACTATTAGTCAGTGCTATTTGTTTATCGCTGCAAAACAATGAAACTAGTTTTTTAAGCGAATTGTGTTGATGATATTGAAAAATAATAATAAATAAGGAAGTAGATGGGTGAGAGGGAAGGAGGAGGAGGAAGAGAGGAGGAGGAGTGGAGAAGGAGGAGGCACGGCAAATGGGGAGAGAGAAATTTTCTGAAATATTGTAACGATATTTTTTAAAAAAATTATTTTCTCTATTCTTTTTTTCATAAATTTTTGCAAAAATTTTTATATTTTTTTAGCCATTTTTCCTTTTCCCTTTTATTTTATTTTTATTTCTTTTAAATCGAAATGAAAATGAAAAATTAGTGTGAAAAATTTAATCGATTGTGAACTACAAACAATAAAGATTTTAGGATGAACGCAAGCGCAAACGCAACTAACTGAAAAAAATAAATAAATTAATTAAATTAAATTAAAATTAAATTAAATTAAAAATTAAATTAGAATAGGAAAAAGCGATATTTTTTTATTGCTTTTATTATTTATTTTATTTTATTATTATTTATTATTATTAATTTTTTTCTCATTATTTCGTCGAAATATTTTTTTTATTTGTTTTTATTATTATTTTTTATTTTATTATTATTTGTTATTAATATTATTATTTTTTATTGTTATGCTGAGTTACTATCATTTTTCGTTTGTTAATTTTTGTTATTATTTTTATTATTTATAATTTATTTTATTATTATTATTATTAAGATTTTATTTTTGTGTCGAATATTATCTTTTATTATTTGTTCATTTTTATATTTTTTTCTTTTTTAGAAAAAATAATAAAAATGCAAAAATACAAAAAAAATTGTTTTTTTATTGAATTTTTGCATTGATTCGAAATTTAATTGTTTTGTCGATGATTTTTTTTTATTTTTTTATATTTATTTTATTTTTATTTGATGATTTGATGTTGTGAAGAAACGTTGTTGTTGATTCATTATTATTTTATATTATTTTAAATTTTTATTTTTAAAATTGAAAACTTTTTATTCATTTATTTTTGGTATATTTTCCTCGAAATTCCAGAACTTTCAACAGATTCCCGGGGGGTATTTTTATTTTTTAACAGATTCCCAAGAATTTTTTATTTTTTGACAAATTCTCAAAGGTATTTTTAGCAGATCCTCGAAAGTATCTTTTATGCCTTTCAGCAGATTCCCAGAGGTTTTTTCCGAGAGAAAATCTTTATAACAGATTTATTTATACTTTTATAAATTCTTCATAGGATCTACATTTTCCACATAATTAAGGATGAATTCTTAGTTGAATCTTCTCTAACGAAAATTCTCGACTCACTTCAGAATCTCGAAAGTGTCCTTAGACTTCAAAAGGGTTTCAGAGGGTTTCATAGCATCAACAAGAAGCACACCGATTCTCAAAAAAAAATCAATGCAATAGCAAAAGCAGTTGGTTCTCCTAAATTTTATGAGGCAAAGAAAAAAAAAAACTAGAATTCTCAAAACTTGTTTCAAATATATTTTGTCTTATCCATCGTCCTTCTTTGTTTTTGTCAACTATTCCCTCCTCGTGTGGTACCATTTTATAAAACTACTCATCGATTTTCTATGAACTTTTGTAAGATTTTGGTCAGCATTACAGTTTCTGTTTCTGTTCTCTTAGTGAAGAATTGATCTTGAATTGGTCATTAAAATGAAATCCGAGCAATCCTGGAGATTCACCTATGCTTTTTCCTTTAGGTGATTCTATGGCGAAAGAGTTTGAGTTCCTCATTCTTATTAGTTAGTGGAAGTGGTAGCAAAATGGGAATAGCAATTGGATTGGTGAATTAGTTGAAGGGCTTCTATTTTAAGAATTGCATTCATCTCGAATCATTTTCATGTTTCTTATTTTAAAATTTTGTTCAACTTCCGCAGATTTTAAGTATAATTCTTATAAATATATCAAAGTAGCTTATCATATATTGATAAATGATAAAGATGATAAAATTATTAGAATATTATGAATCAATTGGGTGAATGCGTTCAGAATTGAAGCTATAAATTCATTATATTTGGATTCCGTTTTATTTTTTATTTTAGAAAAATTTTGGTGGTAGTCGAACGATAAAATGGCACATTGGATGGCTGAATTGCCTTTAGCAGCAAGAGAAAAACCGCTTATAACATTAGCAATTCCAGGTTTTTTATTTTATTTATTTCTTTATTTCCATTATTTATTATTTTTTTGATCTCATTTTTTATTGCTTTATTTTATTATTTTTTCATTATTTTTTTTAAAATTTTTTCTAAAATTTTCTAAAAAATTGCTCGATTTTTTGATTAAAATCAGTTGGCTTATTTCATTTTTTCATTTTTATTTATTATTTTTTCGTTTTTTTTAATTTTTTTTTTATTCAATTATTTATTATTTATTTTAGGTTCACATCATAGTGCATCTTGCTATTTAAAAGAAGAGAATGAAATTACCGCCGATCAACCGTGGTGTGTGCGTGTTTTAAATTCGAATGAAATAATTCGTAAGGCTGTTTATAATTGGTCCAAGGATCAGAAATTGACTATTACAGAGCAGGTTAATTTGTATTTGTCAATTTTACTCTTTCATATTATTATTTCATATTATTAAATATTATTAAATACGTATTCTGCAATTTATGATTATGGCTAAAACCATCGTTCTTGGCTTTCTTGTTATTGTCGAAAAATTAACACTTGATTTTCTTTGATATCCAGAAAAATTGCTTACTTATGACATTTTAGATGAATTCGCTATCATATATTCGTTCTTTTATCATTCTATTTATAGTTATTATTTATATTATTTAATTATATTTTAATTTAATTAAACGAATTATATTATTTAAAAAAATGATAATGGCTAAAATTATAATAGAAGCGAGAGTTCGGTGTGTGATTTGGTTCTAAAACATATATACTCATTGTTTTCAAAAATCCAGATGGTGCTGGCGAACCATCTGTACTTTTAGATGAATGATTCAGAATTTATGAAATAAACAAATTATTTTATTAAACCAATAAATTTTTTAGTTGGAAACTGGTGTACGTTATCTCGATTTAAATATCGCTTATTTTCGCGACAGTATTACTATTATTCACGGATTAACTTGTTGTGAAGCCAGAGGTTAATTTTCAAATGAACGATTTGTTTCCATTGGTGCAGACCACCATTATAAGTATTGAAGCCTGAATAATTCTGTTTCAATAATGTTTCCATTTTTTCATTTAATTTTTACTTATTACTTTTTTGTTTCTCACCACTATTGGTTTGGTTTTTTTTGATAGCTTTTAGAATAAGAAATTTTCAATTTATGTTAGTCTTAAGCCCACTTTTTTCCACTACCTAAAGCCATATATAGCTGCGCCGCTTACAATTTCCCTTCAAAATTTTTTTTATCATATCTCACTGGTTATTTTTCGCAACCGTTTAGCAAAATTTTGCTTAATATAGACAAGTTTTTAACGTCTAAAATATTTTGAGGTTACTTTCTTGGCGCAAAATGTCAACTAATTATCTATAAATTTTAGTAAATTTTATTCTTCTAACAAAGAGCGAAAGTGTTATATTCCTATAAACAAATAATGAAACTATAAGAATGAGCTTCAACTGAGTTTTTCTTTTTCTTTCATAGAATAAACGTAAATTGGCGAGAACTTTTCTTTTTTCTTTTCAAATTTTTCGGTGAAATCCAAAATTTGAATTTTTGATTGAAAGGTTTATCCGATTTTCCATATAAATGAAATCCTCGTATATGAAATCCATCATGAACTTCTTAATCAGATTAATTTTTCAGATTTATTTAAGGAAATTCTTGATTTTATCAACATACATCCCAAGGAGGTTCTGATAATTGATATCAATCGTTTCTATGATTTCAACGAAGAACATCATGAAAAATTATTCAATTTATTGGACACAATGTTTGGTGATAAATTGATTCATCAACCGTCGACAGTTCGAAGTATTTTAAGTTGCTCTTTGAATAAAATATGGAACGGAAATGGACGAGTAAATTTCTTTTATATTCATTAATAAAATAAAAAAAATTGGTTTGAAACTTTGCGTTGATTTTATGTGCATTTTAAGAAGCACTTAAGATTATTATGTACTTAATTTCTAGGTGATAGTTTTCTATCAAAAACCTGTTCCTTCGTCTTCAGTCAACGAAATTAATGGTCACGCTGGTCCATCAGAAGTTTTAAAATTACCGAATCATGTTTGGAGTCGTCAATTCATCAAAAACCCGTGGCCACGAACGGAAGATGCGCGTAAAATGGTTGAGGAGGTCTCGGAAATCATTCGTGAGCGCGAAATCGAAAATGGTTTTCTGGTAATGTTTATTAAATTCATTGAGCAAATCATCGGTTTCGTAACAATAATATTTATTTATTTTAAAAGTATATGCGATGTGTTTAGAAAAAAACAGAAAAAATGGCTGCGAAACAAAATTAAATAAAAGTGCAAAATGATTTGAAGCGTCTCTAAATGAAATTGGAATCATAAAAAATTAATCAAATCAATCAAAAATATATAATCAAAAATTTTTTTATTAATATCCACAAAATTGATAACAGCTTTATACTTTATATTGTTCACTTTACAGTATATATATTTTTCACTTTATTCCATTTGCCATTTGGCTTTCTGACTGATGAAATTTCATCTTCAATTTTAGGCTTGTCAAGCGATAGTCACACTTACTGTGAACTCAGTAATTCGGCAACCAACAGGTACATTCGAAGCGAGATATGCTCGACACGCTACTCATGCTTTAGTTCAGTGGTTACGAGAGGTATTCGTTTTTTATAATTTCAAGGACAAGGTTGTGAATAGATTGAAGGGAAATTACAGTTGAATTTCAATAGTAATACTTCCTTTGTTTCCAAATGAAAAATAGGGAAGAAAGTAGAGAAATTAAAAGAATATATAAGAATTGAGTATGATTTTTATCAATTAACTGCGGCATCACCCTACTGGTAATTTGATTTCAAATGTTCCATTAATGGCGTTTTTTGACAAAATTCGACAAGTTGGAATTCACTGATAATTAGAATAAAATAATATAACTTTATAAAATATTAATAAATAACTTTTTGTCATAAAAAAGCACAAAATTTTCCATTTTTTTACCATTTTTTATATTTTTAAAGGTTTTTCGTTCCTGAAAAATTTTTTCTTTTGAAAATTTTGAAAATTTTTACAGAATGGTTATCATCATCGATCGAATATTAATATAATAGTTGCTGATTTTGTTGATGAAGATGATTTTTGTAAAGTAGTCATCGATCTTAACAACTAAAAACGAATTGAACTCATTTGCAAAGAATATTATTTCTTTGAAAAGAATAATGAAAATAATATTTCAAGTATTTTATTTTCCTCTTTTTTGATTTTGACTTGAAATCCTTTATTAAGCAGTTTTTATTCATTTTCATTTATCGGATTTATTTTAATTTAGAGAAAATAAATAACATTGAATTCATTGAATATTATTTTATTTATATAAATAATATATATATAAATAATATATTTATAATTATATATTTATTATATATTTATAATTGCTTTAATGTAATATATATTTATAAATGCGAAAAGAATTATCGAAAAAAATTTTTTTACTTACAAAATAATCGACATAAATATTTTAATTTAGAATTCGATTTTACAAGAAAACAAGAAATGCTTCCATTCTCTAAATACTATTTAAATGATTATTCAAAATAAAAAGAGAGAATGAATTCAAATATACAATATCTTTTTATACAATACAATATCTATTTTAAATAAATATTAAATATTAGATAATCAAATTAGATTTGTATAGATTTTATCAAATTTTTTTTATTTTATTATTTTTTATATAAGTGTTATTATTTTAGATTCGCTTTATTTTATTATTTTTAAATAAGTATTATTATTATTCTAGATTCGCTTTAGTAGTACTTAAAAACAATATTTTCACTTTGTTCTTATCTGTTCTTTCTTTTTACACTTGGTGAAATATTATTTAAGGCTTTCCTTTCTTTTTTTATTTAATCCGGTTATTTAAAAATTGTTTAAATAATGTAATTTATTTTGATAAATTGTCTATTTTTTCATATGTTAATTTGTAGATTTTTAAAATTTTTACAATAAAATTATTTGAAATATGAATGTCATATTAATGAAAGATAGAATTGGCCTTACCAAGTTAAAACCAAGGAAAGAGGAAAGGTTTTTTGAAAGAAATTTATTAAAAATTATTCATTCATTGGAAAAATACGGTTAATTTTGCTTTCATCAACAAAATTAAACCACTTTAGGATATAACCAAAACGTTATTTTCATCATCAATTCATAAGCACCAAAATATATAAAACCACCAATTCCCATCCACAAAGTCCTGGGAAGAACACCGGAATACAATAATTTCACTCCTCCCTCTCGCGCAATATTTCGAAGTGTTAAGATTACGCCAGGAGGATTTTTTTCTTCATTTAACATTATCCTCGTTTTGGTGACGTCTAGTGGGGTGGTTATAGCGGCTGCCACACTTCCTGCTGCACTCCCACAAGTAGCTGATATAAATGGTGAGTATGGTATACCAAACAACCTAAAACTTTGATAATAACCATAGTATAACCATAGTATAGCAAGCCGGCAACTTGTGCAGAATGCTGAATAACAAAAAAGGTTCGAATCGTTTCAGACATGTGCTTTCTTTAGCAAGACTGGCTGAAAGCTTAAATGCCCTGATCTCAAATATAAATGTCGCAAATTAAAGTCGTTTAGGCTCAAATGTCGCATGGACTAATATCAATTCGACAAAAAATATTTCAATACGGTAGGAAAAAATTTATTAAAAATATACGATGAAATCTGTTGTTTCAGCAATTCCCACAGTGGATATTCAATAAACGAAAAGGGTATCTCTCGGCCAACTGTGCTTGAATAACCGCGATAAAAACCACACAATCCTGGAAAGCATATCGTGGCACCACAAGCAATTATAAACTAAAGAAGAATAGAGAAGACTTAGTAATTAGGAAAATTAAATTGAACTGAAAGCATCTACTTAACCTCACTCAGAAAAAAAAAGTATTTATAGGAAAAATTTGGTAATAGCAAACAAAACACAAAAACACAAAAAAAAATTCTTTCGTCAAAAAATATAAAAAACATAAAAAAATATAAAAGTAACCTTCATTTTTATAAATATCTCGACAAATGGCAATGATCGGACGGTCATTTTCAGCCTGAGCTCGTTGCTTCACCAACTCTGTTGGTACACGAACGATACAGGCAACAGTTTCAGCAACAATAGCAGCAAATGAACTCGCGAGTGGAGCTTAAATCACTAAATAAAATAAATTCAAATATAAAAATTTTTTTTATAAATTTTATTCTAAATAAAATTTTGCTCTGCCACAATATTACCACAAATATATTTTTAAATTCTTTAAAAAATCTTTATCTTTATTCTAAAATATAAAATCAATTTAAAAATTTGGGCTATTATCACTGTTTACACAAATATTAAATATCTCAATAGTTGATAAAATTTGATAAAATTTAATTTTTCTATTTAGTTTTTTAAAAAAATTTTTAGAAGAGATAATTTTTAGAATTTACGTACATTCACTTTTCACAATGTGTTTTACTGAAGAATATGTTGAGAAGAATAAAGCTGAACTAGGTGCGGAACCAATTACTACAGAACTCATACCACGATAGATATTACGAAAACCACCCGATGCATTAAAACCCTAAAATTAATTATTAATCGGTGACGATTTTAGATTCGATAAAATTGTATATCATATTTAAACTATAATATTTATTAATTTCTTAATTTATTAAGATAATTTTTTGACAAATAACAAATGAGATGCTAAACGAGGAAAAAATCCAAAATAAAAAGCAATAATATGTAGAAATGTAAAAAAAAAAGAAATATTATCGCTAATTGGTGGAAACAAAATAATTAATATGAAGTCGTAAAAAATTCAACTTAGCAAATAACAATCAACAACGACAAAAAAGCGAAGAGAAAAAAGTCATTAAGAAGGCGATAATATAAAATTATGATAAATCAGTGAAAAACAAATGGCTTAGTGGTAAAAAAGCCAGCAAAAGATTCAAAAAAAAGACAATAAAAAAAGAACAACACCAAAGACACCAACAATTAGACTAGTGACAACTGGACGAGAATCACCAAGAAGAACCAAAAAAGATGAGGCTAGAGAAGCCACAATCAAACAGCCTTTAATGGCTGAAGGAGAAGAAGAAAGATTCACATGGCAATAACCTGAAAAAGAAAATAGTCCAAGGTTGCTATTTTTTTGCTTTCTCTATTCGGCATCAAATTGTCCATATTTTATTTCTTTAAAAATTCGCTAAAAAATAAATAATTTAAAAGAAAAAAATTTTAAAAACCTGAGAACTCTGTAAACGAGTTTTAATAGTGTCGATAGGATATAAAGTTAGATCAACAGAAAGACCAGCAAATGCACCACTTATAAGACCCCGTAATATTGTTTCCTCCATTTCTACACGCGATCATTCGGTTTCTACCAATTTTTTTCTAAATTTCTTATTATTCACTAATTATTAGCATTTTAATAATCGTGTAAGTCCAAAAAAACAACGAGTTCCTCGCACCATTCACCATAATTCGCACCATAATATAACTATTAATACCTTTAACACAACAAGTAAAAGAGGTTAAATTTGAAATTTTTGTAATTTTCTATAGTTTGATGGCAATAAGCGACTAAATAAAATTATATTTAAATTATAATTATAAATTATTAAAATTAAATTATAATTATAAAATTATTTTAAAATATTTAAAGTGATTAAACATTTGAAAATGAATAAATAAACACTTTAAATAACTTTTAATATAGCCTCAACACAAGCGGTCACCAAACTGCTTTCATAAGCATTCTAAGGTGCTTGGTGACTCTTAGAGAATTGTAAAGAATTTCTATTGGAACAGTAGCAAAATATTCATTTGCAATCATTATTTTATGGTAATTCATTTTATAATAATAAATTATCTATAATAAATTTCATAATTTATAATAAAATGCTTTATTCAAAAAATTCCACAAGGTAAAAAAAGTATTTAGTATTTAACTTATTTAAAAAACTTTTAACTCTATTAAATAATTTAATAAATATTAAATTTTAAAATATTAAACCATTGTACCAGAGGCGCATGGATTTTCATGGAACCATATGGATCCATAAAAGATTCGGTTACCTTTGTTCCATATGGTAAGTACTCTTCCAATGATAAAAAATAAATTCAATAATGTTTATTTTAGAGTTTAAATAGAGTTCAATAATTCTCAGTTAAAAATTCTCCAATATTTCAATATATACTAAAATCTTTTGCAAACACCAATGTACTTGTGTATTGCCCTCACACCTCGCCCCTCTCCGCCTTTTTCCCTTCGTACCAACCTCCTCCCCCCCCACCCCCACTTTTCTTTTTTCTCAGTATGGGCCTTAAAAAAAGTCCATTTCCCGCTAGAAAAATCAAACATCATATCGTCCGAGAAATGGAAGTTATCGTACTCTTTTTCTAATATAACAGCTAAATATTAAATGACTATTTAGCCACCAAATACTGATAAACCGATTAGGTGCGCTTTATTGTGGATGGGTTTTTCGCTGATAATTGTAGTTAGAGATTTTAAGGTTTAATAAAAACAAAACTTAGGCCCGTGCCTAACCAACTGCAATAAAAATAAGGCTTAGGGCCGGTCGAACCCAAGCCTAACCATGTTGAATATAGAAAATATTCAGCAAAACAATAGAAATAATAATAAACAAATAAAAATTGACTACTATTATTATAAGAAAAATTAATAGAAATAATACAGAAATTCAATATTTTAAATTATTTTACGTCAAATTGAACATTCTCATCTTTGCGAGATTTCCCCGCCGTAAATACACTCTCTGGAATAATTGCGCTGTTGGCAAGCAGTTTGGATTTCTTATTGGAACTAAACCTGTTATGGAGAGTGAGAAACACGAATGTTTGCTAGGACGCTAACAATTAATCTTCAGCGGGCTCTCTGGCTATTGGTCATCATCAACTATCTAAATATGCCAGTGAGTCCCTTGGCGATAGAAGTACAGGTGAGTCGTGAGCATCACTCGAACTTTTGGGCTTCTGCGGCGAATAGAACTTCAGCGTCGGCGCTCCAAATCTAGCAACAACCCACTGAGCCATTCAATCTCCTGAATATTCGCCAATTTAAAAAAAGAAAAGAAGAAAATAAAGAGCATCTAAAAATATATCAGCGTTCTTATCAAACGCTGTTATAAATGATAAATGACCTTTTTTTGAAGAACACTCATCATTTCTGTTCGGCCTTGTTGCACTGGCTTAAAACAAGTTTTGTGCGATGAAGCTCAGTTGTCATGGAGAAGAAAATATGCTTATTTCTGTTGAACACCAATAGAAAACCTCTGGTAAACCGTTCGGTTCACAGCTAATCGCCCTCTTCCTTTCCCATTAGAGTCTTTTGGTTTTCTGCCTTATCTCAAACTCAGCCTCGATCTCTCAGGCAACTCCTAGAGGACCACAGGTTGAGGGTTACTGTATCATTCATAAGATGTGATCAGAAAATATTCAAAGTCGTTTTTTTCCCCTACTAAATAAATGGTTGTTTTTTTTATTCGCGCAAGAATTATATCATTAATTTTTATAATTATATCATTAATTTTTTATCAGTTTATCATCGACAAATGACTTAAAATCGAGAATTTTCATTTTGAATTGACTGTGAAAAATTTTGTAAAATTTTGTAAAAATTTTGTTTCATTTTTTAATCGTTTTACCGATTTTTAAAAAATAACTAACGAATAACCAATAATAAATAAATGCCAAATAAATATATATAATAATAATTATTATTATTTTTATTATACCTATACAATAATTATATTTGTTGAAAATCACGAAATGAACAAATAATTGATGATAAATTTTAGCCTATTGACTTAAAAAGATTAAAAGCAAATAAGTCATTAATATATTTTCTCGCTCCATTAATTATCACAAATGATAAGGTTAATCTAATTTTTCATGCGAGTAACCAGAAGCCTGGGAAATATGGACCGCAAGTACCACAAGTATTTTTAACGATTGGTCACGTATTTTGATTAAAAGCACCGAAATGCAGTGCCTAAAATGATTTTTACTTGTGCAGTACGCATTAAATCACGACTATACCTCCTAAATTATTTGCAAAGTTAATATGTTGATGTATGTGTATATATGTGTGTGTATAAAAAGATCCTCTTCTCACGCCTTGTGGGTCATATGGGTCACCGTCAACCTCGAATTCTCTACCAGAGGTCCAGTAAGTTGTGATTAGACTTCCAGAGGGTCTCTCGCCCTAAAGACTCTCACCGAAAAGATAAAGATAACGATTGGCTGCAGTGTTAACCGTTGCTGCATTCCATCCACTATTCCGGTCTGTACATATATTGTGTAGATATATGTATTTCTGTATGTGTCTGTATATGAATTTATATGTTGTTATATAATATATGTATGTGTGTGCGTACGCAAATATGTGTATGTTTGTATATGTGCATGCTTATGTATGTGTACATGTGCGTGTAAAATAAGTGTATATTGTGTGTGCATATATATATATATATATTTGTGTATGTATGTTTATGTATATATGTACATATACGTGTGTGCATGCGTACGCATATCTGTATGTTTATGTATGTGTGTACGTTTGTGCATGTGTGAATGCGTGCACATATGCACATATGTGTATGTTTATATATGTGTGAATATGTGCATACGTACACATATGTATCTTTGTTCATATTTCTTATATATATATATGTATATGTTTGTGCATGTGTGCTTATGTATACATATATGTGTATATGTATGTTCGGGAATGTGTGCTTATGTATACATATATATGTGTAAAAATAAGCACACATGCACAAACATACATATACACATATATGTAAACATAAGTACACATGCACAAACATACACATACACATATATGTGATAAGATGGGTTCCTATAAATTACACAATTTTTTTGAATTGAATTTTCAATAGTCTCTCTTTGGTGGTTTTTGGTAAATTTGCACAATAATTAATGACTTTAACGAAGAGAATCGATGACGAAGAAGAAGAAAGGTCAACTAAGTTTATTTCTACGTATTCAAATCAGTTCAGTTCAGCATTATTTTCTTTTCAAATAGATTTTTTCTTTTTAAATAAAATTTCAATAAATTCAATTTATATGAATTTATAAGCGACGATTTGTGATAGCCTTAGGCAACAATGCTTTTTTTGTCTCTAAAAAAAGTTTTTTTTAGATTTCTTTATTTTAGTTTTTTTTGTCGCCCAAAAAAATGAATGAAAATTTATAAAAATTGAGAAATGAGAAAATTTTAGTTTTTTAAAAAAAATTTATAGAAAATTTACAAAATTTGTAAAAAAAATTGAAAATTTTTCATAAATTATTAATTAATTTATGCTGATGAATCAAATTTAAATTTAATTTTTAGGCAAATTTTCTTCAAATTAATAATTTTGATAATTTTTTAAATGAATAAAAACTATTAAAATTAAAATTTTCGATCCAATTTTTAAGACTATTAAAATAAAAATAAAATGGAAAAATTTCCTCGAATATCGATAATTTCCTATTTAGCTTGTCGAATCATGAAAATTTTGTCGAGAAATCGGTTAAATCACTCAGTGGCCTAGAATAGCTCAGTGAGTTGTTGCTGAATTCGAAGCGCCGAGTTTCTAGTTCGCGCTAGAGTAAACCTGTTCAAAAATCACTCCGAGTGGTGATGCTGACGACCTCTGTTTTTATCACCAAACGACATTTTTGTATCGGATGAACTTAATTATAGAAGATCGATTTCATATTGGTTATTCATCGTTGGTCCATAGGTTTATTTGTCTATTTATAAACGACCAATATAGAATATTTTTCTTTTTTTTCGAATTTGTGAATTTTTATTTTCTCATTTTCATATTGGATAAATTTATAAATTCTAAATAAGATAAATATTTATAGAGATTTTTATCTAAATTTTCTGTTGAAAAAGATTTAAAACGAAGAAAGAAAAAAAAAATTATGTAAAAAAATTATTTAAAAGGAAAATATTTGAGGTGAATTTTAGACGTAACCTGGTGACTAAAATTGTTTTACTAGTTCTCTAGCAACAATTCATAATCATTTTTAAATTTATTTATTTATCGTTTTTCGATATTAGCAAATAAAAAATTTTCTACGCTTAAACTCGTTCCACTAGTTTAGTTTCGAATTGGGCAATTTTTGCCAGTCACTTAATGATAGAAATATAGGTTGGATAGATCGGCCCTAACCTAAAGGTTTTTACGTCAAGTTTAACGATGGTGGAATTTTTTTTTTTAAGAGTCCTCACCATTACTGGTCCTCACCAATCTCTTTTATAGTAATATCTATTAAATCCAAGTTTATCAAATTGAATGAAAAGCTAAATTTCAGT